TGCATAGTATTATTATTTTAATTTTAGGCTTCCCTTAATAAGAGGAAAAGTACAATTCTTTTACTGACTTCTTGATACCAAAGTAAGATCTAGCTTTGAGTGAGAATTACATTTATTTGAAGTTAAAGACTAAATGAGACCATGTCATTCTTCCCATAACATTGAGCAACTGGATATCTTTTCCTAAGCAGCTTCATGTATCACCTTTTGCTTCAGTTAAGTTTATTTCATATTTAGGTTCTCTGAAGATCACAAATGCAATAAACAGCTTACATATCTGTAACAGGAAAACATATGCTAAAATTGAATGCTACTCTTCAAATGTTCATTCATAAGGTATATTATTATTAAAGAAACAAGCCCAGGCTTACTTGGTGTTAGGCTTTGAACTATTATCATGTTTCTTACTATTTGAGAATGTACCAGTCTAGAAGAAGCAATAGCCATATCGATAAATAATTGCAACAGCAAATGCTATGTGCTATGATAATATGGGGAAAAGATAGATTAACTGCATCCAGGAGTCTTGGAAAGACTCACAGAGGACATGAGATTTTAATGGCACATAAATTGGAACTCACCTAGAAGAGTATAGATGGGGAAAGATTATTGAAAGATTGAACAACATGGATGAAGGAGATACGTTATCCAGAAAAGATGCTGTAGTGGTGAGGATAGGAAACCCATTGCCGTCAAATTGATTCCGACCCATAGCAACCCTACAGGACAGAGTAGAACTGCCCCATAGGGTGTTCAAGGAGCAGCTGATGGAAGATATAATTTGGAAATATTTTGGAGGACTTGTTGAATGATTGGCTGTGGTAGAAAGCTTGGGACATTCTTAGTTGGGACAGTTGACTGTATGAGCTAACATAGGTACGAGAGGGGGAACTGGTCTGAGAGGCAAAAAAAAAAAAGTTAAAACCAGAAAATTATTAAAACACTGTGGAAGTTCCAGATTCATATCTCCTTGGAGATCAGGAAAAATAGAATAGCTAAAGATGCAAATCAGAAATCCATTAGAATAAGGATGGCAGTTAAAAATCACTGGAGATGGTTAGTTTATCTAGGGAGAAAAATGCAAAGTAAGAAGTGTTTCAAGGAAGGAATTAATGGAAACAACAATAATTAAGGGACAATAATTAGTATTAATAAAATTATGTAGGTCAAAATAAGGAAATATAGGGTTAAGGTGGTGGTCGACAGCATTAGATAGGAGAGGAAAAGCACAAATAATTAAAGGAACTGATGAGATGGTGGGGGGGGTAAGCTTAAGAAAACTAGTAAAGAGATTAACCTTGCTAAGGAGTAGGAATGACCAAGAATGTTATTTTAGGTTATTGAGCAAAATGACTATTCTTATGATGTAATGATTTCTATACAGGCAAATTGTATATCCATCGCCATGGGTAGGTGAATCAAAATATGTCCTTCCAGATGAAGTAGTTTTATGTTTTTTTTTAATTTATAATTATGCTATTATGCAGAACATTGGAAATAGTAGAAAGCACACTATTAAACCTAAATCAGTTTTATCAGGAAATAGCAGAATGGTGAGAAAAGGGGAGACCTAACTGATTTTAAGTCAAATTCCAGAGCCATGTGACATTGGGCAAGTCTCTCAACATTTTAGAGGTTTCAGTTGAATGAGAAAAGAGGCTTCTTTTTTATAAGGATTAGTTCAAGGATTAAATTTTAGGATGTATCTAAACCACTTAGCAAGGTGCGTGACATATATAGTAAGTTTGGTTCAGTGGGAGCCATTATTGTGATCACAGGAAATGAACAGCTTCATTATATAGCTGCCTGATTTCTTGTGTTTATCAAAGCGTGGTTCACTTTCCAAATTAGAACACATTCATCCATTGAGAAATTACTTAGTTTGGTCACTGGATGATTTTTTTTTTTTAAATCAAAGACTTCAAGCAGAGGTTTTGAGGTCATTTACAGTATTTTAGTCTCATCATTTTATAGACAAAAACATAGAGTTCAGAGAGATTAAGGATCTGTTTCTAGGTCCAGAAAATAGTGAGAGAGCCAGGGGAGAATCCAGGTCTTTCCAGAGGGGAAAATCTTCATGGAAAACCAAATTCTGAGCTGGATCTCGAAAAACTGAAGGGATTTAAATGAAGGAATGGTGATGCGAAGAACATTTCTGGTGGAGCTAAGAGTTTGGGCTGGGCTTGGAATCAATAATGAATTTAGTGTTTAGAGACATTTAAAAAAAACTAATTTATTTATTTATTTAGTGATTAAGAGTGTTTGGACTTATGAAAACTTAGCAATTGTTTTAATATAGATCTGCTGGAGATGACATACGTAATTTCTATATGGTCAACTGACTGATAGGTTTTTCTGCAAAATTCAATCATGTACCAACTGTTTGAAACTCAAACTTGTTAGTTGCCATCAAGTTCTTTCTAACTTATGGCAACCCCATGTGTATAGAGTAGAACTGTACTACATGGAGTTTGCACCATTTGCGCCCCCAAGGGACTAACACAAACTTAGTTTATCAGATAAACACATTTTTGGATGATGTTTAAGTTACCTAGGCTGAAATGGAAATGCCAAGTGCCTTGGTCATCTAGTGCTGCTACAACAGAAATACTACAAGTGGATGGCTTTAACAAAGAGAAATTTATTTCTTCACGGTAAATTAGGCTAAAAGTCCAAATTCAGGGCATCAGCTTCAGGGGACGGCTTTCTCTCTCTGTCAGCCTTCTCATCAATATTCCTGGACTAGGAGCTTCTCCTTGCAGGGACCCCGGGTCCAAAGGACACGCTCTGCTCCTGGCACTGCTTTCTTGGTGGCATGAGGTCCCCCTGTCTCTCTGCTCACTTCTTTCTTTTATATCTCAAGAGATTGCCTCAGGACACAATCCAGTCTTGTAGATCCAGTCCTGCCTTACTAACACAACTGCCACCCATCCTCCCTCATTAACATCATAGAGGCAGGATTTACAACTATAGGAAAATCACACAATACCAGTAATCATGGCCCAGCCAAACTGATACACACATTTTTTGGGAGACATAATTCAATCCATGACTCCAAGTAACCTTTATATTACATATATTCATGACAATACTGAAAAATAGAGTAAGAGAATAACTTTCATTAAGTTTTAGTCATTTCGGTGAGGATCAACAGTAGACTCTTTCCAAGCTTCATAGGGTCAAACAAGAAAAGTATTTGCATAATGAGGATAGTTTCTAGTACTATTATTAGCAAGTTTTAGACCATGGTTGTGAGGCAAACTGGTTTACTTAAAGCTTGAATATGAGATGGAAAAATGACAATAAGCAGAATTTTATAACGAGTAGCATAGAAAGACTTGAATTCTGAGTTGATCAATTTAGAGTTAATTAATTTAGACTTGATCAATTGACAATGGAGAAATCACTTGAAAATATGGAATTGTTAGGAAGAGGACAAATGGATTAATATCTAACAACACCAGGCACTACACTAGAGAAAGAAAAGATACCAAGAGACTAAAACAATGAAATAAGCAGCAGGTAAGGAATACATGAAACCAACTTCCGAAACGGAAAGGAAAGAGCACAGATCACATAAATCATTGGTGAGGTTGGAAGGGGGAAGGAGGGCTAAACATGTCTGATAAATGACTTCTTTGGTGTGGAGGCAGTAAAGTCTCAAAATAACATAATGTAGTTGATATTGAAACGAGGTTTCACTCAGGGATAAAATAAGAAAAGTGATTGAAGTTCATAAACTGAAAGTTACAATTAAGTAGACCTGGTGGCACAGTGGTTCAGCATTTGGCTGCTAAACAAAAGGTTAGCAGTTCAAATCCACGAGCCACTCCTTGGAAACCCTATGGGGCAGTTCTACTCTGTCCTGTAGTATTGCAATGAGTCAGAATCGACTCGACGGCAAAGGGTTTGGTTTTTATTTTTTAATTGTTACTGTAGGAAAATGTATTTCTGTATAGGGAAGTAATTTGTCTTATTGACAAGAAATTTCTACAGTGTATGCCACTTATTCAGAAATTATTTGTTAGTTTCTTTGGACATTAACACTGGTGGCTAGGAAGTCTAGTTCTTTCTGCTCAACATTGACTTAAGATTTATATAAAAATAATGGAATGCAAAAATTCATGAAAACTTGAAGATTAGGAGAGATAAGAGATATATGATCAAAATTAAATTGAATAAATATGCTTTAAGATACATTACTTGAGAAAGGCCATTCCCAATCTACATTTAGTTACTCTGTATGCAACCTTAAACGCATGTTAAACCAAACCAAACCCATTGTCGTCAAGTCGATTCTGACTCATAGCGACCCTATAGGACAGAGTAGAACTGCCTCATAGGGTTTCCAAGGAGTGGCTGGTGGATTGGAATTGCCGACCTTTGGTTACCACTGTGCCACTAGGGCTGCTAAATGCATGTTAGTCAGAAATAAATATGTATCTTCGATAGGAGAGTTTGATATATTTTATTTGTTATAAAACATGCAAGGAGGAAGTTGGAGATCATATAGTTCTAATCTTTAAAAGAAAAAAGCAACTCCAAAATATATACTATACCCCAAAACATATATATATATTTATATTCTTTTCCACAATTTTCTTACAAAAAAGCAAGGTTGAAACTGGAAAGACTAGAGTTAGATTAGCAAGAACTGGAATTTTCGACTTTGAGAAAATAATTTACTCTTTATATATACATGTTGTTGTTAGGTGCCATCAAGTCACTTTTCAACTCATAGCGACCCCATGTGACAGAGTAAAACTGCCCTATAGGGTTTTCTAGGCTATAATCTTTACGGAAACAGATTTCCAGTTCTTTCTCCTGAGGAACTGCCAAACTTTCAGTTAGCAGCTAAGTGCTTACTCATTGTACCACCAGGGCTCCATATGTATAGAAATGTTTTATATATATAGATGTAGATACAGATGTTAGATGGTGATAATTATATGCAGTTATATATTTTATATTTTAAACACATACTACTTTCTTTCTTTTAGATGGCAAGGAAGAAATTCTCTTCATTAGAAATCTTTCTGATTGTCCTCTTTGCTATAGTTACTGTAATAGCTATTGCCCTAGTTGCTGTTTTAGCAACTAAAACACCTGCTGTTGAAGGTAAGATATATTGAAAACACTTTAACGTTATAGTAAAATTAAGAGAAGTTACCCCATAATAGTTATGGATTTAAAAAAACATAACCTATATGAAATGAAACATGTGAAGAAAGATCTAGGGTAAGTTACACAATTGCTGCAACTTTTTTCCATCTAATATTCTTCAAATACTTCAATGAAATATTTTGTAATTAAGGAATTTATTTATTTGGACACAGTGACCTTTCCTAGGGTATGTTGCTTGAGAAACAACAAAAAGGCAAAGACATCAAGGTGTTAATTTTAGGTGAAATAATAGTCTGCTCTTACCATTGAGGTGTTTCTCATTAAAGGGGAGAGAGGTTTTTGCTCTGGCCTTCAGACACTTGCAAAGGAGGTGAGAGATTTCTGGGAATATCATCTTTGTTTTAGGCTTGATTTTATTATTATTATTATTTCTTTAAAAAAGAAGCAGGTTTTTTTTTTGACAAAGACAGATGGGGGAAGGTGAAGCAAGGCTTGATGTGTTTACTTATTATTTGCAGTATCTCTATGCTAATTTAGAATGAGAACATTCTGCTCTGGACCATCTAATCTACTTTCTCTTTCTTCATCATCCTCTCCCTGAACTAAATCTGAATTGCAATGGATATTATAAATTATCTTCTAGTCTAACCCTGCATGTTTGTTAGCATTTTTAACTGCTGTCAGTCTTTTGTTTTAACTTCTTCCAGTAATTGAGAGCTCAGTACATTGTGAATCTTACCCATATCTGATTATTCAAAAGCTTCTCTTCATATAGAGTTGAGATTTATTTTTCTATACTATTCCCTCCTGTGTTTCCTCTTCCTAACAAATTCTTCCCTTCAAAATATTTGTTTCCTCCTACTTTTACTTTTTCTCTACTTTCTTGTCTCCTTCTGTACACCCTGTGCTATCCCATGTTCTCCATCTTCTTTCTTCCTTTATAAAACACAAATTGTAAATAGGTGTGAAGTGTGAATATTCATTTTGTGTCCTTTTGAATCTACCTCAAGACCTGTGAATATATTTTGATTTTCTGGAGAAACAGTCAGCAGGGGGTCTACACTGTCAATTTTTAAATATCATTTAGATCTTTTCCTTTTCATGACTAGGGCTTGAATTTGTTAGTCTTTTTTAGTGCAAAATTTTTATATTCATTATATATAAATCCATGTATTCTTTCAGTATAATATATTCATTGCTTGAAGAATCAGAAAATGATTAATACCAAGTTTTATTTTAATAGCTTTTTTTTTTTCCCAGAAACTGGTGGTTCTGTTTCAACTCCTGCTACCAGCACTATAAAATGTCCAAGTGAGCTAAGTGAGACTATAAATGAGAGAATAAACTGCATTCCAGAACTATTTCCAACACAGGTCTGCAACAACAGTTTTTAATATTTTTATGAATATTAAATATCATATAATATTATAATCATATTAAGGTGATTGTTCAGTATTGGATCAGCTCTATATTTTTAAGATCTATCCATAAATTAGGCTGCACCGATCATCTTACTGTAGTTCTGTATAAACAAATGAGAACTAATAGAAGTTATTGAGTTTGCTTTTCTGTACCTCAATTCAAATCAAATTAACAAGTAAATATACATCCATACCCTACAGATATTCAAATTATAAAATGTTAAATATAAAATATTAACAGGATTTTCTATTCTTCCAGCATTAACACACAACACCACTATGTTGCTCAACTTTTTATATTTTTATATAATTTTTATGCCATAAAGATTTTACATAATCTTTATAGATCATAAAATTAGAGAGAATTCATAATTTTTCCATATTCATTAAATATGATACCTGGCACATAAACTAGTTTAAATAATTAGATCTTTAACTCACACTTGGTTGGAAATAAGTATCTTAAACATTTTATGTGAGCTTGAATTTAGGGCCATATTTTCATCTTTACAGCATCATCTGCAGCTTGATACATAATTGGCACATAATAAATACTTCATTTCTTTTGCATCAACTTCATGACAATAGATTATAATTACCCAGAGGCCAGGAACCTTTCAAATACATGAACTTATGATAATGTGTATGTGAATTTGACAAATCACAACTCAGAGCATCAATCTCTGATAGGGTGTAATTAATTCAGTGAATTAAATATTTATATTTCTTCCAAGTGAAAGGAATGAAAGAATAGGAAATTTTTCAGCATATTACATATTATGAAGAAAGAAGCATATTTTTAAAATAATCATTCACTGGAATGAATGAATGCTTAAAAAGTAGAGATAGATGCATCTGATAACAGTAATAATATATGCTTCCTTTTAAAAATGTTTTAACAGGCAATTTGTGCTCAGAGAGGCTGCTGCTGGAGGCCATGGAATAACTCTGTTACTCCATGGTGCTTCTTTGCAGAAAACCACGGATATAATGCTCAGGGATTAAAAACAATAAGTACAGGTAAGATGTGCTCTATGGTTATGATTCAGTATAAGTGGAACAAAGAAAATACGTTTTAATTTTTTTGGCAAACACGTCTTAAATAGAAGCAAATGAGAAGTATGTACACAAAAATGTTCCCATTGATTATATTAAGGATTTCTTTCTTGCATGATTGTTATCTACTAAATTAAGAAAAAAAAACTCATTATTTATGAAAAAGGAAATGAAATTATAAAACTATATGAAAAAGATTTAATGATTATTAATCTTTATAACCAGTAAAGTCACTCATGCCAGCTTTCTTTTTTCTTTAAGGAGTTGAAGCCCAATTAAACAGGATATCTTCACCTACCCTATTTGGAAATGACCTTAACAGTGTCCTCTTTACAACTGAAAATCAGACGTCTAATCGTTTCCGGTTCAAGGTTTGGCTTTTGAGATTTCTAAAGAAGATTTAAAAATTAAAGGAATTTCATGATTAATCCCTTCATCATATTAAGTCATTTTCTCTCTTGAGTAATAGTATTTATTCCAGTGAAAATGACTGATTTGACCAATTACTTCTCTGAGCCTGATTACTCAAATGCAACATAGGAATGATAGTTCCTCTTTGATTTCTTGATGAACTTCATGCGGTATCCATCATCCCCCGTTTGTGCTTACTTGCCTCTGTGTGTATTGTTTGTTGCCAGCTAGTTGACTCTGACTCCTGGTGACCCCAAGTGTGCAGAGTAGAACCTATACATAGTGTTTTCAAGGCTTTGACCTTCAGAAGCAGAATGCCAGGCCTGTTTTTCAAGGTGCCTCTGGGTGGGTTTTAACCACCAGTTTTTTTTTTTTTTCCTCTTTGTTTCATTTTTTAATTGTACTTTAGATGAAGGCTTACAGAGAAAATTAGTTTCTCATTAAACAATTAATACACATATTGTTTTGTGACATTGGTTGCCAATCCCACAACATGTCAACACTCTTCCCTTCTTGACCTTGGGTTCCCCGTTACCAGCTTTCCTGTCCCTTCCTGCCTTCTTGTCCTTGCCCCTGAGTTGGTGTGCCCATTTAGTCTCGTTTTGTCTTATGGGCCTGTCGAATCTCTGGCTGCAGGGTTAACCTTAGGAGTGACTTCAGTACTGAGTTAAAAAGGTGTCTGAGGGCCATACTCTCAAGGTTTCTCCAGTCTCTGTCAGACCAATAAGTCTGGTCTTTTTTGTGAGTTGTAATTTTGTTCTACATTTTTCTCCAGTTCTGTCTGGGACCCTCTATTGTGATTCCTGTCAGAGCAGTCAATGGTGGTAGCCACACACCATCTAGTTCTGCTGGACTGAGTCTGGTGGCGGCTGCGGTAGTTGCGATCTGTTAGTCCTTTGGACTAATCTTTCCCTTGTATCTTTGTTTTTCCTCATTCTCCCTTGCTCCAGACAGGTTGAGACCAGTCGAGTATCTTACATGGCCACTCACAAGCTCTTAAGACCCCAGACGCTACACACCAAAGTAGGATGTAGAATATTCTTTATAAACTATGTTAAGCCGGTTGAGTTAGATGACTCCCGAGACCATAGTCCCCAGCCCTCAGCCCAGTAATTCGGTCCCTCAGGAAGTTTGGATGTGTCTATGAAGCTTCCATGACCTTGCCTTGGTCAAGTTGTGCTGACTTCTGCAGTATTGGAACCACCAACCTTTTGTCTAGTAGCAGAGCTCTTAACTTTTTGTGCCACCCAGGGATTCTCTGTGTCTATGCTGTTCTTTATATCACTCAGAAGCAATTAAATTTGGGACACACCCTACACTGACATGTCTTCATTAACGCAACAAAGAGAATCCTGTTTCCAAATTGGATTACACCCACAAATAGGAGTTAAGATTCCAACACAATTCAATCCATAGCAATCGCTATTAAACAATGTTAAATTAAGGGTGTGAGTAGATTAATAGCTCATTTGTAAAATTACTAAACATACGCTTTTTCTATTTAGAACTTGCATTTAGTACTTAACTCCAAATTAGAAATTTAAATAATAGATTTGAAACAAGTAATGTTACTTTGTTTATATCTTTGCAGATTACTGATCTAAATAAGAGTAGATATGAAGTTCCTCATCAGTATGTAAAAGATTTTACTGGGCCTGCAACTTCTGAAACATTGTATGATGTGATTATTAAGGAAAAGCCATTTAGCATCAAAGTTATTAGAAAAAGCAATGGAAAAGTTTTGTAAGTAGCTATCTTATTTTACGTTTATGTAAGTTTAAATAAAGTTTTAAGTTTATTCTCTTATTATCTCATTGGGAAAGTCTTAATTTCAAGACATTTTCAGAAAGAATAACTATCCTCCCAAAGCAGATTATCATGATAAAGGGATTTTGTTTCCTGTGGATTAGGATGCTAGAATGTGAATAAGAATATACAAATTAAGGCTGAAAATATTAGAACAATGTATATACTGACAGCCAGTTTTGAGTCTTCCTTTTTCTAATTTTTTTAACAACATAATTGGGCTTTAATAAAATCTGTTTACACACACACACATACACTAGGACCTCCTGCAGCTTTTCATGAAAGTGTACTCCAAAATTATGCATTATAAAATCTTTATATTATCCTGATTTACATTTTCTATAAATCAGAGTGGTTTTGGTCTGTGGCTACTAAGTCAATGAGGCAGATGAAAATGATATTCAAAGAAAACACTTGCCTATTAAAATGCCAGTGAATGTCTAAATTAAATTTTGTCTTTCACAGTTAGATTAAAAATATATATGTATGTAAGCTATTTATACATTTATAGTAGATATAGGTATATGGGTCAAGTTCTTGTAGTATAAAATTATCTGACTCTCTTAGTGTTATTGACTTTGTTAGACACAGATAATGCCATATCTCCTAATAAACTTAACTTCAGTTTTTCAAATATATTTGAGAAATGTTCCTACGATTATACCTCCAAGATATTTCTCAAAGCGATTGCACTTCCTTTCTGTCATCCTTGAATGTTCACGCTAAAGTCTCTCCATTTTAAGCATTTCCTGACTTTATTCTTAAGGTTCAAATTTCAGCACAAGCAGTTGCACGCCTGTCACCTACCTCGTATGTTGATGTACCACCCATAAGATGAATTCCTTTCCTTTAGTGCCAGTTGTTATCAAAGTATCTGACAGTGTTGTTTAGAAAATTGGATAGTCACTATTTTAATAAAATTATAACCTTGCTTATATTTTTAAATACCTAGAAGTCCGTTAGTAATACTTTATGTCCTGTTGTGTCCTTTCTTCATTATTTATCCAAATCTGTTGCTAATTTGTAGGATGAAATAGTTCCTAATATTATTAATATAGTTCCTAATATTATTAGTCTTCTTCTTATTATTATTAATATTAAAATAATTTTCTTATATCTATTAAATTGAATATAGTCTGGATATCTTCACTATGAATATATTCATGGTAAGGGAGGTATTTGTGCAAAACATTTAGTAATTTTTTGTGAATATTTTCAAGATAAATACTTTTGCAGTTGACTTTGTGTTCAATCATTAAATCACAAAAATATTAAATGCCATTTAACATTTCGTGGAGTATGTATTTGATCAGCATAAAATATACAATCTTTTTCTTTATGGAAAAATGATATTAAACTTAACTTTTAGCATAAATACCATAGATGTAGAAGGCAGTATAACACTGTATTTTAGAAATGAGTCCTTGTAGCAAGGCAAAACTGGGTTTGAAGCATGGATGTGCCATCTACCAGTTCGTGACCTTAGAAAATATGAATTAATTTTCTCATCTGTGTCATCTCTGAAATGGGATCAATATCAATAGTTATATACTATGTTTGTGAGGGAGATTAAAGGAGAGAATACAAGTGAAGATCTGTATTTATGATGAGGCAAATTCTTGGGATGTAATTAACTAGTTCTGATTTTTGATGTAATTCATGTATTCCTGAGACCACCAGCTAAAGACCGACATCTTTAAAATGAAATACTCTGGGTGATGCTAACATAAACCTGTATTTGGTAGAACATTTTATATATGTTTCTAGGTCATTTATATATTTTGTGGTTCAGGTTTGACAGCAGTATTGGTCCACTGGTGTATGCTGACCAGTATTTACAAATCTCAACAAGACTTCCCAGTGAATATATTTATGGTATTGGGGAACATAATCATAAAAGATTTCGTCATGACATGAACTGGAAAACATGGCCAATCTTTACCCGGGATACAAGTCCTGTTGATGTAAGGAACTATTTTTCTTATTTTAAATAAAATCATTATATTGGACAAAATGATAATTTTAATGTATCTGAAACCATTAATTATTTGAAATTATCAATTAAACTATTTGGACATCAATGATACCTAATCCAGAAGCTTGTTTACTTTGGGCTTGATGATTGCTAGCTAAATCCTATGTTAAGACAATCAGTGACCAAAAGATTTTGTGAATATTTGAACAGGTATTTCCAGTTTATGAAGGTTTCTTTTAACTTTCTTATTTATGGTTTAATCATTCCCTTTTCAGATCAAATCACCCTTATACTTTAATTCATTAATGGCTAGCCATTGCACTCATATAAATTCAAAACTCTTACCATGAGCTACCTGGGTCTATATGATCTAGTGTCTGCCTATCTATTGGACATCACCTCATAGCATCTCTACCCACTTTTTTACTGTTTCATAACTTGTAATAATCTTCCATAACTTCACATCTTTGCACAGGGTGTTGGTTATCTTTCTAAGTACTGAAACTTGAGGCTCTTTATCACTCATACAACATGTCACTGAGGATTTATTTAAAATTTCACCTCATAAGGATTTCTGCCAAACTCTCCAATACAGAATCAGTTTTTACATTCTAACCCTTTATTCATGTTTAATATGATGATTATCACAGTGCATTATTTGTATATACGTATATATTTGTCTCTCCTTCTAGAAAGTCAGATTCTTTAGAACAAAGATCATACCTTTTCTTTTTAAAGATCTTTTTTTTATTGATTCATGATTTATTTGCATCAAATATTTATGATTTTTTTAATACCAATGTTAGCTATTTTATTTCCCTAAATGAATAAGTGTGTTGTATTAAATGTCCTCGTTTGGAATAGAGCTAGTAATAACTTCTGTTGATATCTGTTTACAGCATCACTATCTTATTAAACACCAGACTGAGAACCTCAAAGCTATTTTTCATACATTCTTTACTTTAACCTTTCATATCCAATCAATCAGAAAATCTTTTTCTTTTCACTTCATTAGTGCCTTTCCAGTTTTCTTCTACCATTGAGATTCCTCATCAGCTCTTAACAAACTTTCTGTAAAGAAGTCCCACCAGTACGGGTATCATCTTAGAATTCCCTGCAGTGCCTTGGACTTACATGGGGGAAAATGGATGACCATGCCATTGCCCTATCATAAATAGTCTTATTAAAATTCATTTAATCATAAGAAAACATAAAGAAAATAATCTATTTATAGTATAATATTTATATGTTAATACAATATTAATAGTATATTAATAGAACAATAAGTTAGATGCTTTTTGTGCTACAATGTTTTAAATGGTACATTTAGTGGAGAAAATTAGTATAAACATATGAATAAGTAAATTACAGAAACGAATTGGAACTTTTAAAGGTCATTTGACATGCATAGTCTTTTTTTTTTTTTTTTAATTCAAACATCAGGGTTTATTGCCAGCAGAAAACACAATCTGAATCCAGTAAATGAGGTGGAGTTTGTAAACATATTCCAAACTCACAAAGATATATTTTCACATAATTAAAAAGGGGGATATCTAAATTGTTATTATTATTTTTAAATTTATCCCTTGTGATATTTTACATCAACAAATGGAAAATAGGCAGCAGAATAGGGATACACATCAAAATAATAAACAGTTTAACTTTTATGTTTTATATAAATGGTACACACTGTAAAATGTAATCAAAGTTCCTAAAGTCAGAAACTGATATTTAAAAGATTAACAGTTAAAAAAAAAACAGAAATAACTCACAACTCTTCATATTGAAATTATTATTTACACAATGTACGGACATAGATGTTGAGTTATAATTGCAAACTACTCGAACCAAAGAAAATTAGATGTAGCAAATTCTTAACCTCCTAGTACAAGTGACATGGTTTTTAACTAGGTCAAGTTGGGAATTAAAGGAGACTTTAGAATGGTGCAAGTTATGAAGTGAACTGGTAATTGTAAGAAACAGTCCTAATTTAAACTGCTTCACTGATTTTCTGACAAAGTTTCCAGTTAAAAGGTTGACAGTTTGGGAGATGGGAAAAAGGTTAATGTTTCATGGGTGAAATTACATACTTAATTAGTTGGAACTTAGGAAATCTTTGACTCATTTTTAGATTAGCTTTGTTATTACTAAAATAAAGGAAATACCGTATGATGCAACAATAATTAAAACATGCAAGACAAACTTACGGCTATAATAAAAGAAAACCCAGCAGCATTCAGCTGCCATGACTGGCTTTCATTTCCACTTTTATTCGCTTCACAGCATTTTTCTTTAATAATATTGGGCTTTGGCGGCATGTTGAACTCATAGATTGTTGGTTCAGAATATCCCAATCTGTTGGCAGCTGTTATTTGCATCTCATACCCTATTGTCCACTGTAGATGCTCCAAAATAATATGATCTTTATTTCCCTGTACTTTTTTCTCTAGCCACTGGTCTTCCTTATCTTTACTTCTATATTTTACCATATATTCCAAAATAGGGGCCCCTCCATCATCCTGTTTGGTGATGCTGAGTTTAAAGCTCTTCCCGCTGCTTAGCTGTCCATGGATTGATGGAGGACTTGGTTCACGAACTGGTAGTGTTCGGAAGATTTCTGTTTTACTGTAGTCTCCTTGCCCTTTTCCATTTACAGCTGCAACCCTGATTTCATATGTTGTATTTGGTTCCAGGTTGTTCAAAACAACCGTTGTTTGAACTCCATGGGAGAGTACTATTTTCCAGGTTTCTGATGCCACTTCTTTGACATCCACTTGATAGTGATGAATAGGCACACCTCCATGGGAATCCGGTTTGTTAAAGGAAACTTTGGCCATGGTCTGTGACAACTCTATAATCCTCACTCTATAGGGACTGGACGGCACATCAGCCAAAGCAAGAACATATTCTTGAAATCTGGTTCCTATATCATTAGTGGCTGTGCAGTTATATGGCCCAAAGTCATCGTTAGATATAGGTGCAATCTCCAATATCATCTTTCTTCCTGTTCTATATGTCTTTATTGTGGTGTTCTTAGCTGGTAATATTAATTTATCTCTTCTCCAGTGGATTGATGCTGGTGGATTAGATTTCACATCACAGCTTATATTGATTGGATTTCCTTCCCCAAAGTAATAAATGGTTTGGTTTGATATAAACTTTGATAGAGCATATTCAATATCAAGGTACATGCTCTTTTGGTGTCTGCCAATTCTACTTGCAGCTTCGAAGTCATACCTCCCCGAGTCTGACAACTTCACATCCATAATGTGCAGCGACAAACTTCCGTGCTGCCCTCGGACATCGATACGGCCGTCTGGGCTCTTATCTCCTTCAGAAAACGTGATGTCATCCACGGCTCTTTTCCAAGTGATTTCTGGAATAGGCTCCCCTTCTGCTTCACAAATAAGTGTGACTTGACCATTTTCATGTGTAATCTCATTTTTAAGCTGTATTATGTGAGGCTGTACAAAAACTTGGAGAAGGGCATGTTTTTCATCTTCTCCTGCCTTATCTGTGGCCCTACAGACATAAGGGCCCCCATCACTACTGATAATGTTACTGACAGTAAGTCCTGTATTGCTTCCTTTTAAAAGGTACTTTTCATTTTCTTCAAGGAGCTTGTCATTCCCGTACCAGCTGATGGTGGGTTCTGGAGAGCCAGAGGCCCTGCAGGATAAGGTCATCTCTTCGCCTCTCTCTGCTGTGGCATTAAAGGATTTCTGAGGCATTGCGATTGCTGGCGGCACGTTAACGATCACAATGATATCACGGAAGTCAATTTCTCCCTGAGCCTCCACTCTCCCTTCACACCTGTATATACCTTCGTCACTCTTACTGATGTTGACAATCTGCAGATTATTGTTTGCTAGCATAGCGAACCGATCTTTTGAGACTGAGGCAGCTCGGCTTCTTGTGTTCCTTGTCTCTTCAGCTTCTGCTTCTGTTTCCTATGGCCTTTTGGCCCTCGGGCCTCATGCCCGCATCTGCCCTGCTGGGGCCAGTGTTCCAAAGCTCTGTAGCTCCACCGGTATAAGTGCCCGGAGGCACCCCACTCTGCCAAGAAGCCTCCTGCACACAGGCACTCAGCTCTCTCGCTCCATGGGTCAGCTCCAGCACTGTCTTTCACCAGTCTTCTGGTTCTGCTGCTGTTGGTTCTCTGCCGCTGCCACTTCTCTGCTGCTGTGGGTTCTCTGCTGCTGGTGGTCTTCTCTTACTGCCACATGTCTATCCATTCACAGTTTTAAAACCGCTTCCACATTTTAGGTATCTGTTAGAGAAGCACCCCACTCTCGGTACCAAATTGTCTTAGTCGTCTAGTGTTGCTACAACAGAAATACCACAAGTGGATGGTTTTAATGAAGAGGAGTTTATTTCCTCATAGTCAAAGTAGGCTAAAAGTCCAAATTCAGGGCGTCAGCTCCAGGGGAAGGCTTTTTCTCTCTGTCGGCCTTCTCTTCAGTGTTCCCCCAGACAAGGAGCTTCTCTGCGCAGGAACCCCGGTCCAAAGGACACGCTCTGCTCCTGGCACTGCTTTCTTGATGGTATGAGGTTCCCTATGCATAGTCTTTTTTATTTTAAATATACTTGAAATTTTAATTTTCAATTTTTTTCTTGTAGAATAATAATAATTTATATGGCCATCAAACATTCTTCATGTGTATAGAAGATACTTCTGGAAAGTCATTTGGTGTTTTCTTAATGAACAGCAATGCAATGGGTAAGAATGATTTATCTGATAACGTGTTTAAATAAGGTTTTACTTGAAATGGTTTAACTGCGCTCTTTATTCTAATCATAAATGCTGTATATTTGAGTAAACTTTATTGCCGAGGATTTTAGTATGTGAATTTATTATAAGCAGGTTTTTTGAAGTTAGTATGACTATGCATATAATGCTATACTATGACATTTAGTCCCTTTCTTCTCTCTTCCGAGCAACATTGAAACATCAAAACATATACATGCAAATGATATTCCCATTCCCACAGCCTCATTTGTCACTCTAAGTAAAAAAACAAAACAAAAACAAACAGAAAGTTCTGTATGGGAATGGAAAGAAGAAAGAGTAATTTTTTCAGAATATCATAATTTAAGTAATACAGAATCTTTGTTTTAAATATCTGTGCTTAATAAGTAGGAATCCCTGGGTGGTGCAGTCAGTTAAGCGCTTGATTACTAACTGGAAGGTTGGTGGTTTATACCTACCCAGAGTCACCTCAGAAGAAAAATCACAGCCTTGAAAACCCTATGGAGTGCAGTTCTACTTTGCACATGTGAGATCGCCATGAATCAAAATAGACTCAATGGCAACTGGTTTGGTTTTTTGGTTTGGCTTAATAGGTAAATCAGCAATCATAAAAAGCTACAAAAATTAATAATGTTCCAGCAAGAATAGTATTTTACATGGTTCTCTAGGAAAATATGCTGCAGAAGACCTCTTTAATGTTAAAAAGCAAAGATGTCATCTTGAGAACTAAGGTGTGCCTGTCCCAAGCCATGGTATTTACCGTTCACTGCCAGAATGAACAAATCTATCTTGGAAGAAGTACAGCCAGAATGCTCCTTAGAAGCAAGGATGATGAGACTTTGTCTCATGTACTTTGGACATGTTATCAGGAAGGAAAAGTCCCTGGAGAAGGACATCATGGTTGGTAAAGTAAAGGGCCGGAGAAAAAGAGGAAGGCCTTCAACAAGATGAATAGATACAATGGCTGCAACAATGGGCTCAAACATAGAAATAATAGTGAGAATGACTCAAGACTGGGCAGTGTTTTGTTGTGTTGGAGATACGGTTGCTGTAAGTCAGAACCAAATTGACTGCACCTAACAACAACATATCCCCCCCTCAAAAAAAGGTTGCCATCAAGTCAATTCCAACTCATGGTGACTCCATATGTTTTAGAATAGTACTGTGCTCCATTGTATTTTCAATGGCTGGTGTTTCGGAAATAGATCACCAGGCCTTTCTTCTGAGATGTCCCTGGGTAGATTCAAACTGCCAACCTTTTGGTTAGTAGCCTAGTGCTTAATAATTTGCATCACCCAGGGACTTTTACATATAGAAAAGTTAATTAAAAACCTTTCTGAATAGTTTTTTTCTTAGAAATTAATATTTCTAAGAGCACAAAGACTCTTCAATTAAAATATCTAATTGTTGTACAATTTTAAAAAGAAATATTTTTGTTATATGAGGACTAATTGACTACCCCTTACTATGCAGTTTTTATGAGAGCTTTGACCAATATCTGTAAATGGGAACATCTTGAATATCCTATCATTAGCCTCATGCATGGTGGCATTGTACTTTTTCCTTATGTTCTTCCCACCTTCGATATTTTATTTCCTCTTAAATCTTTAAAAATAGTTTGAAAATAATATGGTTAACACAAAGTACTTTAAATAAGATATTGAAATTATTTTATTACCTTTTTTATTATTTACATATGCTTTTCTGGTTTTTATTTTGTAGAAATTTTCATCCAACCTACTCCAATAGTAACTTACAGAGTTACTGGTGGCATTCTGGATTTTTACATTTTTCTGGGTGATACGCCAGAACAAGTAGTCCAACAGTATCAAGAGGTGTGTTTCATATCTATTTTATTAAATTCTTTTATGCCCTACTTTTCTTTCTTCTAACGTGTCTACTTATTTAGCTGACTTTACTTTAGGTACCTGGGGCCTCTTATGTGTATTTTAAAATTTTACCATTATTCAGAACTCAGTAATTTTTTTTTTCTACACAGGGATGCCTATATATATCTAAATGTCTATATTTATGATTTCAAAATAGTTTCTTGCTTCTAGGCAGCTGAGTTCAGGAGTTGGAAATCTTTGAGATGCTGCGTATAAAATCTTTACTTATTCATGACCTACTTTGCTGGGATAAAGTGAAGGGAGGTATCTTATCTTTAAGATGAGCATAGGCAAAATCCTAAAGGCTACTGAGTTATAAGGAAGACCAGTGAAACTTGCTGTAAATACACCCTAAGAAAACTCCAGGAAAATTGACTCCAATACTCAGTCCTAAAGAGGTCACAGTTTAGAACATAAACTGAAGACTTGTGTCTTAAGATAGCTATCTAAGTAACTGTCACATACTTATTAAATAAGATGTTCTTGTACCTGGGCCCAAGATGGGTCTTAGATATGTGACGAAGCCAGGGTTTGTCTTGACCTTGATTCTAAAAGTCCTTCCAAGTCACTACTCTACTAAAACTATTGGCATATAGGATTCCTGGTGTAATCATGGAAAAGGAAAATATTTTTATTGGTATAACATTCAAGGATCACGCTTATTTAAAAAATCTTGTTTTCTTGTTATATCTTTTGACATATAATTCCCATTTCCAAAAAAATTCTCAAAGGAGAAGTAATTTTTGAATTATTTCTAGAAGTAAAACTTTCTTCAATTAAGATCCAAATAGCTGATATATGTGTAGCTGGCATTTTATACATTTTAATCACTTACAATGTCTAAAAACTTCTAAATTGCTGTTTATATATGTGATTGTCAAAAAAAGAAGCACACAAAGTGTACAGTGTCTATAATATGAAAGGCGTCTCTGCGTGGCACAAATGGTTAAACACTCGACTACAAGCAAAAGATTGGTGGGTCCAACTTTCTCAGAGGTGCCTTGGAAGATAGGCCTCGTGATTGGCTTCCAAAAAGTCATAGCTTTGAAAACCCTATGGAGCGTTCTACTCTGCACACGTGGGGTCGTCATGAGTTAGAATCAACTCCATGGCAACTAACAATAATAACAATATGGAATCATAATGACAGTGCTGACCTGGCCTATATATAGACTTTGTACATGGGTCTCAAACCAGAAAAACAAAAGAACAATACATTTTTTTAATTTGATTTGTCAAATATTAGTTGGGATGCCTGTCTTATTATATGCTGAGAAAATCTGTGGTTAGCAGTAGATGAGCTTGATTTAGGCTTGTCTCCTGAATGCAGCACATATCCAGGAGAGTAGTGCACTTGCTTAGAACATTTAAGGGGTAGACTTGCACAAGCTTGAATTTAAACAATAAAAGAAAATATTGGTGCAGAGTGTAGTACTATTAATCAAGGCTACAATTAAAAGAGGCTCAAATTATGTTGAAGATAGACAGAAGAAACTATTTTGTTTGAAGAAATCAAATTATCTTCTGTGCATAAGCTAACACATTAATAACCACCAATATGTTAAAGCTGGAACCCATAAGTATTTGAATGGACAGATATTTTCATTAGCTTGTTAGATATTTTTATTAGTCCAAAAGACAGAAATATGTATACATATATAAACTGCTGCTGTTGAGTAAATTCCAACTATAGCGACCCTATAGGACAGAGTAGAATTGCTGCTCCATAGGGTTTCCCAAGAGTGGCTAACTTTTTGATTAGCAGCTGTAGCATGCCATAGCTCTTAACCACTACACCAACAGGGCCCTATATATATGTGTGTGTGTGTGTGTGTATATGTATGTATATATATATATATATATATATATACAGATGTGTGTGTGTATATGTATATACACACACACACATATCTATGTATATACACGCAGAGAAATAAACATTATATAAGCTTAAATAATATATAAAATATGTATTTCACATATTTACTCTATGGAAAATAAGTTATACATTTAATTATATGTGTATAAAGTTCAATCAAATGTCCAAATCATTAGAGAACTTCAGAGAACGTAAGGCACTCAGGAATATAGTATGAAAATTACTGATTTTTTGAGTGCTTTATTTAAAACCAAATTATTTTAAAAATAAGTTTAATACTTTGAATAGAATAGAATTAACACAACATGATACACTGTATTTTTTAATATTTTTTAATATTTACATAGTAGTTTTTTGGACATAGATGATGGAGAAAGCATGGATCCAGAACAACACATAAGAGACTACCTCAAAGAAAACCCAGTATGACAAATAAATTTACTTGTCTTAATGTAACCCTATACTCAGTTTTTAGCAAAAAAAATCTAATATCAGTTATGCTCATATCCCCATGTGCAAAATCATGTGCTTTGCTGTTTTCATGAGACTCTTATTACTGGAAGGCATCTCATGCTCTTTTCTGTTGTGCACTTAGCTCTTGAGGGCCACCACAGGAGTGGGAGAAGGAGCTCCACTTGGCTCCAGTGGCAGGAAAGAAGCAACGGCTCTGCATGAGCTACATGGAATGACTAGATGAGAGCCTTGTAGTTTACATATTTTATTAACATTTTGTAAATCAGGGGAGAAATTAGTGCAAAATTGGAAAATAATAGAAATTAGGTATTTTAAACATCTTTTTTACATGATTCCTTTATGTTTATTATTGTTATTTTTTGCTGTGGAGTGGTGTGACAGAACAATTTTCTTTTTATCCTGGATTACGTCTCTATGATGGCAAAAATATATCTTGGCAAATGTTACTTTCTTGAGTGATGCACTTCCTAATTTTTTTAGCATAACATAAACAAAAAAAATGACAAAGCAGAAAATTCTTAAGTTTTTCATAACAAAATTCTTAATAGAAATCTAGAAAGTATTTTAGAATACAAGTATCATTATCTCTGTAAAATATGTAGTTAAACTTAAAAGATTATTAGAGATATAATAGGAAGCATATGAATATTAGTTTCAAATACTAACTACATTTTTCTTTATTGAAACTAATTACCTCAAGCTCATTGGACTACCAGCAATGCCGGCATACTGGAGTCTTGGATTCCAACTGAGTCGCTGGAATTATAGTTCACTAGATGTAGTTAAAGAAGTGGTGAAAAGAAACCGGGATGCTGGCATACCATATGTAAGTGAAATGAAGTGGCTGTGGAGATATATATCGTGTTAAATATTGTCACATGATAATAAATGTAGGAAATTGTCAGGAATATCCACTATGTATGTAGTTAGTATTTTTCAGAAATGTGTAGGTTTTGGTTTTCTACAAAATGAAGCATATATATATATATATATATATATATATATATACACACACACACATACACATAAGTATGTATGTACATATATCCATATACATATAAACAAAGCATAATGCATGTTTAGTGATTATCAGTGAACACCATATGAACAATCATTTAATGCTTTTGTACTTAGAAATTAGAAAAACCAATTTTGTAAATAATACCATTGCTTCTTTTGTGGAATACAAGGAATCCAAGTTCATTTCTCTTTTACTTACTGTATTTATAATACAAGTTAATTGGACTTAAAGACTGAAGTGATTACAGAGTTCTTTCAATGCTATTTATTGAAATATACTGTACTAATTTTTAGGATACACAGGTCACTGATATTGACTATATGGAAGACAAGAAAGACTTTACTTATGATGCAGTTGCATTTAAAGGGCTCCCTGAATTTGTTCAAGATTTGCATGACCATGGACAGAAATATGTCATCATCTTGGTAATAGTTGATTATATATTAATATATTTTTAGTAGTACACATTTAATAAGTTAATAGATCTTCCATAGTTTCTTCTTTTTGTTATTAGGACCCTGCAATTTCCACAGGAAAACGTGCCAATGGAACAGCATATGAAACCTATGACAGGGGCACTGCACAACATGTGTGGGTCAATGAGTCAGATGGGACTACACCAATTATCGGAGAGGTAAATTATAATATTTATCAAAGTTATGTTGCTCACATTTTCTATTCTGCCACAGAGTTCTTGTAAATATGTGCATGTGTTTGCTTATAACTCTAGATTTGATTTTGATTGGGGAGAGAAATATTAGACAGAAGAAGCAGTTCAAGAATCTCTAGAACAGTGTTTATTAGAGGTTAGTTATACAAAGAGTAAACAGACACTAGAAAATTTTCACTGCCATGACAATTAAAAAGAAAGCTAACACAATATGATAATCTACATTATTACATAATAATCTAGAAGTCTTTGCAGAAAGTTGATGGAAAATAATTGTAAATATAAATTGAATACTTATATGCTGGGCACTAAGTTATATGCTTTACCTTTAATCCCCAAAACAAAATGATGAGATGTCTATGATTAAAATTCTTACTTAACAGACAAGAAAAGTAAATCTTAAGAAAGGTGAAGTGACCAAGATCACAATGCTAATGAGAAGCAGAGTCAGGAAACTTTTCTTGGCTCCCAAATGCTTATATTTAACCAGGATAAATATTTTCTTAAAGACAACTTTGTAAGACATATCAAAAATTGCGATAATGTCTAGATTTTCTTCCCTATAATCAGTTGCTAGTAAGTTGAATCTAACTCATGGTGACCCAATGTTTATTAGAATAGCACTGTATTTTATAGAGTTTTCAATGGCTGGTTTTTCAGAAGTAGATTGTCAGGACTTTCTTCTGAGGTGCTTCTGGGTGGACTCAAACCTCCAACCTTTCGGTTAGCAATCGAGAGAGTTAACTGTTTGCACCACTCAGGGACTTCTTCCTCTCTATAATGTCTATTAATAGCCCACATGATACATTTTGTTAGGACCTGCTCTGTTGGATATGGACAGATTAGACAGCCAATATACGTCATTTGGAAATAAAAACAATGTCATTTATCCCAATTTATCTGGAATTGAATTCTTCTTGCTTAATATAGTTATTGTAAGTAATAAGTAAATTACTGTAAAAAAGTTGAAAAAGCATAAATAATACAGAGACAGGAACTTATAGTGTTTAATAGCATGGGCTCAGGTATGACCGCGTGAGTTTGAATTCCTAATGTGCCACTTATTAGTAATACGACCTTGAGCAACTTATTTAACTTCTTTTTTTCTCATCTATAAAATAGGTTTAATAATAGTACCTACCTCATCTGTAAAATAGTGATCACAGTAGTACCTAACTCCTAAAATAATAACAAAAACTAAATGATGTATTGTAAAATGCTTAGAACTGTGCCCAGCATATAAGTGTTATATTCAAGTTTATTAAATAAAAAAGAAATATACCAGGAGGTTTTCTCATCGAATTTCTTGGAAGCAGATATCTTTGGAGAGGAACTAATGTGATTTTTTTTTTTAATCACGCAAGGAATATATTTAATTTTTTTCTTTAATCTAACCTACTACAAGCTTAGAAATAATTTAGTTGCAGTCAAAATAGCAGCCTAATCCCATATTTTTATCTTTTCCCTGCCTAAATGTTTCATGATCTCATACTCTTTTTCTTATCTGTTCTCCTTTAAATGCATTTTAATGTAGGCCAGATTTTACTGTGAATATAGATGGCGCATGAGTCACACATACTTGAAATACAATATTATAAATTTAATACTTTTTACTATTCTGTTCAGCTGAGTTATGTTTGTATTTCATTTCTTTGTCATTTATTTATTAATATATGTGAACAATTTATTATTTTAGGTATGGCCAGGACTAACAGTATACCCTGATTTCACTAGTCCACAATGCGTAGATTGGTGGGCAGATGAATGCAGTCGTTTCCATCAAGAAGTGAACTATGACGGACTTTGGATTGTAAGTAACAATTTCAAACCAGTGATTTTGGCTAGTGAGCATAAAATTATCTAGGCATGAAATATTATGAAATAACAAGATACATTTTTTTCTGGTATTCAACAACAACAAAAAAATCCCTATAATATTTCTAGAACTTATAAATATCATACCTGTCATATTCTTGGGTTAGAAAAGAATACAAGCTAAAAAAATGCAGACTGATTTTTTTTTCTCTAGTAATACAATAAGCCTTTACAGAATTAAGTCTGTTTCTATAACTAAGGTGTTGCATGTTTATGACTAATGATTGATCTTTAGAAAACAGTTCATCCAGATTTATAAATAAGCCTACAGCATTGTAATTCCAGAAACATATATATCTTGGTTTCTTAGAGCTGCCAGGATGAAGTACCACAAAGGCGGTAGCTTTAAAGAGTAGAAATTTATGGTCTCACAGTTCTAGAGGCTAGAAATCCAAATCAGGGTATCGGCCCTATCAATTCCTTCCGAGAGTTCTGAGAGAGGAACTGTTCCTTGCCCTTCTCCTAGCTTCTAGCGGATTCCAGCAATCCTTGGTGCTCCTTTGCTGCTTGTTGATGCATCTTCACATGGCACCTTTCCCCTGTGTGTGACTTTGTTTCTGTGTCTGTTCTCCCCTTTTATAAGACACCACTCAAAAGAGATTAGGACTTACCCTACTCCATTATGACTTTGTTAACTGGTAACATTTACAAAGAAAAATCCTATTTCCCCAAACAAGATCACGTTCAGAGGTACAGAGGTTAGGACTTCAACATATCTTTTTCAGGGACACAACTGAATCCATAATAATACATTTCATTCTACTATATTCAAGTAATTGCAGTGATATGAATCTGAATAAGCCTCTTCCCTTTAGAAATTTTCTTTTTAGTAAGTAATAGAATAGCTGAGACTATCTCAGGGGCTCTGTGGGGCCATAAGTTTTTGAATTAGAATACTAAAATGTTATCTGTCTTTTTTTCATGAGCATATAGGAGATACGGGCTATACACAGTGCTGTGCATAGCTGCTAGCAGTGTGCTCAGAACATCATGTTGTTGTTGTTAGTTGCCATGACTTGATACCAACTCATGGCAACCCCATGAGTGAAGAATAGAACTGTTCCATAGGAAATCAAGGTTGAGAGCTTTTGGAAGCAGATGGCCAGCCCTGTTTTCAGAAGGTGCTTTGAGATGGGTATGGAAGGCCAACCTTTCAGCTGGTAGTCGAGCATTAACCAGGGACTCCCTAGAACATCACAGAAACTAGATAAATGCCAGCTAAAATGGACAAATTATACCGAATGAATAAATGTGCTAAAAATGTGTACAATGATAGACTCACAGTAAGAAGACTGATAAAACTGTAAAATTTAGTTTCTTGATACATACAATGTAATTGATGTTTTCTACAACACATCTGTCAGTTTATCATACTGTGGTGGCTTGTGTGTTAATGTGATACTGGAAGCTTTGTCACCAGTATTTCAAGTACCACCCTTGGTGGACAGGTTTCAGCGGAGCTTCCAGACTAAGACAAATTAGGAAAAAGGACTTCCAAGTCAACTTCTGAAAAAATTAGCCAGTGAAAACTTTCTAAATAGCAGAGGAACATTGTCTGATATAGTGCCTGAAGATGAGCCCCTCAGGTTGGAAGACACTAAAAGACAACTGGGAAAGAGCTGCTTCCACAAAGTGAAGTGGACCTTAAGCACGTGGATGGAGTCAGGATCTAAGGATCTTCATTTGCTGATGTGGTACAACTAAAAATAGAAGAAACAGCTACAAACGTCCATTAATAATTGCAAAGTGGAATGTACAAAGTATACATCTAGGAAAATTGGAAGTTGTCAAAAATGAAACGTAACACATAAAGATCTATATCCTACACATTAGTGAGCTGAAATTGACTAGTATTGGCCATTTTGAATCAGAATGCCTACTACTATAGTCTACTATGACAGGAATGACAAATTGAAGAGGAGTGGCATAGCGTTCATTCTCAAAAAGAACGTTACAAGATCTATCCTGAAGTACAATGCTGTCAGTGATAGGATAATATCCATGCACCTACAAGGAATACCAATTAATAGGACTATTATCAAAGTTTAGGCACCAAGCACTAATGCCAAAGATGAGAAAATTGAAGATTTTTACCAACATTTGCAGTCTGAAATTGATCAAACATGCAATCAAGATGTATTGATAATTACTGGTGATTGGAATGCAAAAGTTGAAAATGAATAAGGATTGGTAGTTGGACAATATGGCCTTGGTGATAGATCTCATAATAGAATTTTGCAAGACGAACAACTTCATCATTGCAAGTACCTTTTTCTACAACATAAACAGCGACGATACACGTGGACCTCACCAGATGGAAAACACAGGAATGAAATCGACTATATCTGTGGAAAGAGTCAATGGAAAAGCTTAATATCATCAGTCAGAAAAAGGCAAGGTGTGACTGCAGAACAGATCATCAATTGTTCGTATGCAATTTCAAGGTGAAGCTGAAGAAAATTAAAACAAGTCTATGAGAGCCAAAATACAATCTCGAGTATATTCCACCTGAATTTGAAGACTGTCTCAAGAATAGATATGATGCATTGAAAACTAATGACTGAAGACAAGACGAGTTTTTATAAGCCATTAAGGACATCATATATGAAGAAAGCAAAAGGTCATTAAAAAGACAGGAAAGAAAGAAAAGACCAAAACGGATGTCAGAAGAGACTCTGAAACTTGCTCTTGAACATTGAGTAGCTAAAGCGAATTGAAGAAATGATGAAAAGAAGTGAACAGAAGATTTCAAAGGGCAGCTTGAGGAGACAAAGTAAAATATTACAATGACATAGGCAAAGACCTGGAGTTACAAAACCAAAAGGGAAGAACACACTTAGCATTTCTCAATCTGAAAGAACTGAAGGAAAAATTCAAGCCTCGAGTTGCAATATTGAAGGATTCTATGGGAAAAATATTGAATGACACAGGAAGCATCAAGAAAAGATGGAAGGAATACACAGAGTCACTGTACCAAAATGAATTTGTTGAGTTCAACCATTTCAGGAGGTAGCATAGGATTAACAACTGATAATACTGAAGGAAGTGGTCCAAGCTGCACTGAATGCGTTAGTGAACAACAAGGCTCCTGAAATTGAGGAAATGCCAACTGAGATGTTTCAACAAACAGATGCAGCACTGGAGGTGCTCAGTCGTCTATGCCAAGAAATTTGGAAGGCAGCTACCTGGACAACCCACTGGAAGAAATCCATATTTGTGCTCATTCTAAAGAAAAGTGATCCAGTAGAATGCGGAAATTATTGAACAATATCATTAATATCACATGCAAATAAAATTTTGCTGAAGATCATTCAAAAGCAGTTATAGGAGTACATTGACAAGGAACTGCCAGAAATTCAAGCCGGATTCAGAAGAGGACATAGAATGAGGGCTATCACTGCTGATGTCAGATGGATCTTGACTGAAAGCAGAGAATATCAGAAAGATGTTTATCTGTGTTTTATTGACTATGCAAAGCATTCGACTGTGTAGATCATAACAAATTATGGATAACACTGTAAAGAATGGGAATTTTAGAACACTTTATTGTGCTCGTGCAGAACCTGTACATACACCAAGAGGCAGTTGTTCAAACAGAGCTAAGGGATACTGCATGGTTTGAAATCAAGAACGGTGTGTGTCAGGGTTGCTTCCCTTCACCATACTTATTCAATCTGTATGCTGAGCAGATAATCGGAGAAGCTGGGTGATGTGAAGAAGAATGTGGCATCAGGATTGGAGGAAGACTCATTAACAGCCTGTAATAAGCAGATGACACAACCTTTCTTGCTGAAGGCATAGAGGATTTAAAGCACTTACTGATGACAATCAAAGACTACAGGCTTCAGTATGGGTTATATACCTCAACATAAAACAAAAATCCTCACTAATGGATTAGTAAGCAACATCATGATTAGTGGAGAATACATTGAAGTTGTCAAAGATTTCATTTTACTTGGATCCACAATCAGTGCCTATGGAAGCAGCAGTCAGGAAATCAAACGACATATTTCATTGGGCAAATCTGCTGCAAAAGACCGCTTCTTAAAAGTGTTAAAAAGTAATGACGTCACTTTGAGGACTAAGGTGTGCCTGACCCAAGCGATGATATTTTCATTCGCCTCATATACATGTGAAAGCTGGACAATGAATAAGGAACACCAAAGAAGAATTGATGTCTTTGAATTATGGTGTTGGCAAAGAATATTGAATATATCACGAACTGCCAGAAGAACGAACAAGTCTGTCTCAGAAGAAATACAGCCAGAGTACTCCTTGGAAGTGATGATGGTGAGACTTTGTATCACGTACTTTGGACATGTTATCAGGAGGGACTAGTCCCTGGAGAAAGACATCATGCTTGTAAAGTAGATGGTCAGAGAAAAAAAGGAAGACCCTCAACGAGATGGATTGACACAGTGGCTGCATCAATGGACTCAAATGTAACAATGATTGTGAGGATGGCACAGGATAGGGCTGTGTTTTTTTCTGTTGTACGTAAGGTCACTGTGAGTCAAAATGGACTCAATGGCATCTAACAACAGCAACAACAATTGATATTTTCTATGTAAAATTAAAATTAGGTAACGGAAATTACGTTTTAGGTTGTTTATAATCCCCCAACCCTCTGTAAGTTTTCTCTGTTATCTGGTATGTACATTTATGCAAAACAAATAATACTATCTTTGTTAGTATGATGACTTATCCATACCTGAAGGTAGTATCAAATAGTGAGTGTAGTTAAGTAAGTTTGTTTGTTTTTAGGTTAGTAGCTTGTATTTGTCTTCTAGGACTGACAGAACACCTTGATTGCCTTAGATAAAACATTTTTCAAATAATTGGAGAGTTTTGGCTTACATGCTTTATAATTATTTAAAAACATCTGTTCTTCATTTTGTAACTATTCAGGATATGAATGAAGTTTCCAGCTTTGTTCAAGGTTCTTTGAAAGGGTGTGAGGACAACAAATGGAATTATCCACCTTTTACTCCTGGTAACTTAACTTTTACTATCTAGTTAACATTGGGACAAATTTTCATTATTGACTGGTAAACTCTACTTCTGAATCACAAACTTTAGCATAATTTGGAGTCTCTGAAATCAATGACTTTTTGTATTCATCCAAAATATTCATGCCTAGATTCTAGGAGAAGGAGCATGATTTTTAATTTTCATATACTGTATTCAATTATATTCGTTGTTGTTGTTAGTTACCATGGAATCAGCTCCGACTCATGACAACCTTATATATAAGTGAATGAACCATTGCCTAGTCATGCCCCATCTTCATGATGTTGGTATGTTTAAGCCTATTGTTGCAGCTGTTTTGACAGTCTATCTCATTGAGGGTTTCCTCCATTTTGCTGATATTCAACTCTACTGAATATTGTATCCTTTTCTAGCTATTTGTCTTTCCTGATGAGGTGTCCAAAGTAAGCTAGCTAGAGCCTCACCATCCTCACTCCTAAGGAATATTGTTGTTGTTGTTGCTTTTAGGTGCTGTCGAGTTGGTTGCAACTCATAGTGACCCTATGTACAGCAGAACGAAACACTGCCTGGTCCTGTGCCATCCTCACAATCATTGTTAAAAACATTATGATTGTTTTACTTCTAAGACTGATTTGGTTGTTTTGCTGGTAGTCCACAGTATATTCAACGTTCTTCACCAATACCGCAATTTGAATGCATCTATCCTTCTATCTTCCTTTTTCATTGTCCAGCTTTCACATGCATATGAGGTGATTGAAAAGACCATGGCTTACAGTGGAGCACACCATAGTCATCAAAGTGACATCTTTGCTTTTTAAAACTTTAAGGAGGTCTTTAGTCGCAGGTTTGCCCAATGCAATATGTCATTTGATTTCTGGATTGCTGCTTTGATGGATGTTGATTGTTGATCCAAGAAGAATAAAGTCATGGACAATTTTGATTTCTTCTTCATTTATCATGATGTTGTTTATCAGTCCAGCTGTGAGGATTTTCATTTTCTTCACATTCAGCTATAATCCATACAGAAGGATTACTCCACCAACCTTCTGTCAATTTGTCATATGATGGTGGCTTGTGTGTTGCTGTGATGCTGGAAGTTATGCTACCAGTATTTCACATACCCACATGGTCACCCATGGTGGACAGATTTCAGCAGAGCTTCAAAATTAAGACAGACTAGAAAGAAAGGCCTGGTGATCTATTTCCAAAAGTTAGCCAAAGGAAACCTGATGGATAACAACGGAATATTGTCCATTATAGTGATGGAAAATGAGCCCCTCGGGTTGGGAGGCCCTCAAAATACGACTGGGGAAGAGCTGTCTCCTCAAAGTAGAGTTAATGACGTAGATGCAGTAAGGCCTTCAGAACCCTTATTTGTTGATGTGGCACCACTCAAAATGAGAAGTAATAGTTGCAAACATCTATTAGTAATCAGAAGATGGAATGTATGAAGTATGAATCAAGGAAAATTGTAAGTCATTAACAATGAAATGGAAAGCTTGAAGATTGATGTCTTAGGCATTAGTGAGCTGAAATTGTCTGGTATTGGTCATTTTGGATTTGAAAATCATGTGGTCTACTATGCCAGCAATGACATATTGAAAAGAAATAGTGTTTCACTCAACATTAAAGAGAACCTTTAGAGATCTATCCTGAAGAACAGCACTGATAGGTTAATATCCATGTACCTACAAGTAAGAACTGTAAATATGACTGTTATTCAAATTCACACACCAACCACAAATGCCAAAGATGAAGAAATGGACGACTTTTATGACCTGCTGCAGTCAGAAATTGATGGAATGTGCAATCAAGATATATTGATAATTACTGGTGTTCAGAATGCAAAAGTAGGAAACAGAATAAGGATCAGCAGTTGGAAAATATGACCTTGATGATAGAAATGACACCAGGATCATATGATAGAATTGTCCATGTTAGAATTTTGGATCAAGATTGGAGGAAGACAACATTAACAACCTGTGATATGCAGATAACATAACAGCACGACAACTTACTCAATAACACAATTGATGATTACACACATAGACCTCGCAGGATGGATTACACAGCAATCAAACTGACTACATCTGTGGAAAGAGAAGGTGGAGAAGCTCAGTATTATCAGTTAAGATGCAGTCAGGAGCCAACTGAGGAACAGACCATGAATTGCTCATATACAGTTCAAACTGAAGCTGCAGAAAATCAAAGCAAGTCCATGAGAGTTCAAATACAACCTTGAATACATGCAGCATGAATGTAGAGACATTTCAAGAATAGATTTTACACACTGAACACTAATGACCAAAGAGCAGAAGAGTTGTAGGATGACATCAAGGGCATCAGACATGAAAAAAGTGAAAGATTATTAAAAGCACAGGAAAGAAGAAAAATACCAAAATAAATACCAGAAGAGACTCTGAAACTTGCTCTTAACCACAGAGTAGCTAAAGAAATGGAAAAAATGAGGAAATAACAGAACTGAGCAGAAAATTTTAAATGGTGGCACTAGAAGACAAGGTAAAAGTCTTAAAAGCACAGATGTCACTTTGATGACAAAAGTGTGCCTGACCCAAGCCATGGCATTTTTAATCACCCCATATGTATGCAAAAACTGGACAATGAAAAAAACAGACAAAATAATGGACTTATTTGAACTGTGGTGTTGGTGAAGAATATTGAATATACCATAGACTGTCAGAAGAATGAACAAATCAGTCTTAGAGGAAGAACAGCCAGAATACTCCATAGAAGTGAGGATGGCGAGACTTCATCTTGCTTACTTTGGACACATCATCAAGAAGGACCAATCGTTAGAGAAGGACATCATGCTTGGTAAAGTAGAGGGTCAGCAAAAAAGAGGGCGACTCTCAGTGAGATGGACTGACACAGTGGCTGCAACAACAGGCTCAAACATAGCAATGATTGTGAGGATGATGCAAGACTAGGCAATGTTTTGTTCTGTTATATATAAGGTCACTATGAGTCGCACCTAACGTGACAGCACCTAACAACAACAACATAAGAGGTCTACCATGGTGATGCAGTAGTTTAGAGCTACAGCTGCTAATCAAAAGTTTAACAGTTTGAATCCGCCAGCTGTTCCTTGGAAACCCTGTGGGGCAGTTCTACTCTGTCCTATAGGGTCGCTATGAGGTGGAATTGACTTCATGACAAAGGGTTTGGTATGTCTACAATTAGATTCATTTCAATAACCTAATTTATTATAAAGTTTTGAAATTAGCCTTTAATTATACAGTAAAACCAAAATCCCATTTCTGTCAAGTCAATTCTGACTCATAGCAACCTTATAGGATAGTGTAGAACTGCCCCATAGGGTTTCCAAGGAGCAGCTAATGGATTTGAACTGCCGACCTTTTGGTTAGCAGTGGAACACTGAACCACTGGTGCCACCAGGGCCTCAATTTTACCTTAAAAAAAAATCCCTCTGCCATCATGTCGATTCTGACTCATAGAGACCTTATAGGACAGAGTAGAACTGCCCAAAGTGCTCCCAAGGAGTAGCTGGTGGATTAGAACTGCCAACCTTTTGGTTGGCAGCCCAAGGCTTAACCACTGTGCAACCAGGACTCTATAATGTAATATAGATGTGTATTTTTATATCCATGTGTTAAATGCTATTTGTTCTGTGAATTTATTTATTATTGTAGGTAGAAGCAGAGATTTTATTAAGAAAAATGTAAGTCTAATGATTATTCCAAGTTCAGTAAGAGCAGAGCATGGAGGCCCTAATTTAAACTTAATTGAATTGAATTTCTTATTTTCATTATTTTTTATTAAATATGGTATTACACAGCATACAATAGAAAGGAATGTAAAGTTTAAAATAACACAAATCTCTTAAGAAACATTTTTATATATTTTCTCTAAGATATTCTTGACAAACTCCTGTATTCCAAAACAATTTGCATGGATTCTATGCAATCCTGGGGAAGGCAATATGATGTTCACAGCCTCTATGGATACAGTATGTCTATAGCTACAGAGAAGTAAGTACAATTTGATTTAGAAACTACTCTCTTAATTACTTTCTAGAACTATTTTGTGATAATCTATCAATATGCATGGAAAACAGCCAGAGGAAGAAAGCTAAGAAAAAAAAGAAAAGATAATAGTATAGTTTCATGCTAAAATTTGTGGGCTTTCAAAGCGTCAGCTCTTTTTCTAATATTGATGAATTTGAAACTTGGTTATCAAAAACTACATGGTATAGGTACTGTGATTCTTTTTAAATTCCTAGATATAAATTCTCCTCCAAAATTTGATACAGTTTTGCATATCTGAATATAGTTGTGTTGTAAACATGAACTTCACTACTGGCCAGGGAAAATGTTGTACCTAGAATATGTGTTTATTTTTCTAAAAAAAAGGTTTTCAATTAAAGTTTAGTTTTTTAAGTGGTATTGCCCAAGTATATTTTCTAATACACAGTTACTTGTATATATATATAAAAAAAGAACATGATGCAAACAAAGGAAGGGGACAGTTATATGTTGGTTACCTACAATTTTCCAAGCATTGTATACCAGTACCAGTTTCTGTCAAGTCCATTCTGACTCATGCCAACAACACGTGCATCAGAGTAGAACTGTACTCCATAGGATTTTCAGTGGATGATTTGTTGGAAGTAGATCATCAGGCCTTTCTTGCAAGGCAGTTCTGGGTGGACTTGACCATCCAACCTTTTGGTTAGCAGCTGAGTGCTTAATGGTTTGCAACACCAGGATCTAAAAGCAATTTTATAAGCTCATATAACTTAAGAGTCAATAAAATCCAGATTTTAGTCTCAATGAATTTGTAATTTTCTCATAATCAAAAAACTATGATCAAGTTTAAATCCAATCTCATGTTTGTCTTGTCTAAAATCACACCATGATAGGAAAAGTTTTATACACTATCTTGATAAAGTTAACTTGGTTCACTTTAAACTCAATAAAACATTATATAAAGCAATATTTAAGTCAATAAATTCCAGAAAAAAGAAAACAACACTCTATGGTACAATATGATAAAGATGATAAATACGGCAAAAGCAACAGTAGAGGTGAGAGGAATAATGCTAGCAGTTGTGGATGGTGTTTGACTTCTAGAAACAAAAACGTGCTTCTTAAATATGTAAGTTTGATGGCAACATTGCTTGGTGATATTTGAGAATGCAGATGTTAAGACATAATTAGAGTAATAACAGTGCAAAAATGTGTATTGAGTTCAATTCTTGATTACTAAATTTTATACTTATAAAAGGATTTCAGTGAGTTTAAAACATATATTTTATACACAAATGTTGAGTGGATGCCAAATGAAACCAAACTCATTGATGTCAAGTCGATTTTAACTTGTAGTGACCCTATGTAGATGCCAAAAGCAGATGATAATTTATTTTGATAAATGTCTTATTTACCTAGAGCTACCATAACAAGATACCACAAAGCTGATGGCTTTAAAGAACAGAGATTTATTTTGTTCTGAAGGCTAAAAGTCACAATCAGTCTCAGCTATGTCGAGTATTTCTGTGAGAACTTATCCTAGTTTTTGGTGACTGCCAGAAATCTTTGAAGTTCCTTTGCTTGTAGATAATCCTCCCATGGTGTCTGTCTTCCCTGTATGCATGTGTCTATATGTATTCTGCTCTTTTTATATACGACACATCTGAATAATTAGGTTTAGCACCTACCCTCCACAGCTATGACCTCATTAACAAAAAAAGAAAACCTCCTATTTCAAAATTGGGTCATATTTACAGCTAAAGGAGTTAGAACTTCTGCAGTTTCAGAGAGAGGGGCACAATTCAGTAAAGGAAGTCATTCAAGGTCTGAATCATTTCTAAAATCTTTCCTGCCTCTGTGTTTGATCAAAATGCATTTAAGCTAATAGAAAATTGATACGAAATTTTATTTAAATCATTGCAAACATTATGACTTGGCTATGGGAATTACAATATATGCATGTTAAATTAAGCTTTTCATTATATAAATACCAATTAATTTTTAACTATATCTTATTTAATAACGTTATTATTTTTAGAGCTGTACAAAAAGTTTTTCTTAATAAGAGAAGCTTCATTCTCACCCGGTCAACTTTTGCTGGAACTGGAAGGCATGCTGCACATTGGTTAGGAGACAATTTTGCTACATGGGAACAAATGGAATGGTCTATCACAGGAATGCTGGAGTTCAGTTTGTTTGGAATACCTTTGGTAAGCCTTTCAATACAATGTTATTTATAAAACTCCATATTACACTACACTTAAACATTATCATCTTAATAATTTTTGGTAAAATGATTAAAAGGCATGCTACGGGAAAGAAAACTCAATCTAAATTCTTATGGAATTTAGGAGAAAAATAAGAATATTGATGATATCTATAGCATTCAAGGAGCCCCAGTGGCACAAACATTTAAGCTCTCGGCTGGTAACTGAAAGTTTCAAGGTTCAAACTCACCCACTCGCTCCACAGGAGAAAGACCTGGCATTCAGCTCCCATAAAGACTACAGCCAACAAATCCCATAAGGAAGTTTTACTCTGTCACATGGGGTTGCCATGAGTTCTACTTGACAGCACCTAGCAATAACATTCAAACCATTACAATGAGCAAATAAGATTGAAAAAATTCAATCACACCAACATAAGTAAAGAAATGAATATACAAATAAACAAAGCCTAGAAAAGCTTATATAATAAATATAAACAGAAATAAGATGATAGGGAAAATTCCAAATAGATTAGTTTAAAAAAAAATTAATGTCAACAGACAAAATGTATTTGAAGCACTAGATTGTCAGTTGAAGTGAAAAAAAAAAAAAAAATTCCTTCACTTAACGATAAAATATAAGGGCAGAGAAAAGTTAAAAATTTTAAAAGAAAATTTATACTAGACAATTCTAAACATCAGAAATCTAGCAACTCTGTTTATAGCAAATAAAAAAGAATTATGCAATGCTGATATTCAAGACTAAAGGGGGTAACTACATAACAAAAAGACTGGACTATATTAGAAAATTATTCATTTATTTTTTCTTTCATATGCAAAAACTGAAAAAAAAGACTAAAACACACGCAAATCTTACATTTGAAAATTAAAAAAAAATGTTTTCTAATTGTACATGAGTTGAAAAAATCTGAATAGAAATAAAAAAAAAGGACTGAACACAAACAACTGTTCTTCTCATCAAAGCTTATGAAAATGAGAAGAAATTAATGCAATGAAAGTAGTTTTTAGAGAAGTAAATTAGCAAAGTCGTAAGGCAAATATGATTCTTTGAAAAATTTAACAAAGTAGAGCAAAATATGGCAAGTTTTGACCAAAATATAAGAAAATAATAATCAATATTAGAATCTATTTTAATATAAGGTGATATTTATCATAACAACGAATTAATAAGTAATATTCAAAAGTAAGTATTAAGAATGTGAGTAGGACATTTTGGGGGGAAATTTTAATTGAGACCAAAATAAATTAAATCTATATCATCTTCATGGAGAGGGAGGCTCAGTATACTGGGAATATTTATTCTCCGCAGACTGTGATCCAGATTTAGTAGCATTCCAATATAAGCCATAAAAGAGTTTTTGTGAAACATAAAAAATTATCCTAAACTTCAGGCAGAAAACAATAAAATTTATAGAAGAAAAGAACGTGAGTATTTACCTTATCACATAAAGGTATAGTAATTAACACAGAGATACTGGACTGTGAATATGTAAATAGACTAATATGGCAAAAAGAGAGCTCCAAAATAGGCCCATGCGTATATGGAAATTTGTTTAATGACAGTGTGGTCACTGTAGATCAGTGAGGACAGTATCAACTATTAGTATGGACAACCAATTATTTAAAAAAAATAAAATGGATTCATGTGTCACCCCCATACAAAAAAAAAATCAATTCCAGATGGATCAAAGATTTTTGTTTGAAAAATAAAACTTTAAATATTCTAGAAGAAAATGTAAGAGGGTAACTTCATGACCTTGACATATGGAATCATTTCTTACACAGAAAGCACAAATCTAACGGAAATGTATGTAAATTTCACTATAACAAAATAAAAAATCTGCTCATCAAACAAATTTTTTTTTAAAAAAAAAAAGCAAACCACATACTGGGAAATGATATTTTCAATGGATATAGCCAATAAACAATATTCAATTAAAAGTAGCTTATAAAATCTGCAGAAAACTAAAAATTAGCCAAGGAAATGAATAGGAAATTCTATACAAGGAGAAAACCATATGGACTCAATAAAAAATGAAAAGTGTATCAACTTTCCTAGTAATCAAGGAAATACAAGTAAAAACCTCAGGGATATATATTGCACATAGATAAGTAGTAAAAATTAAAAGTCTAAAACACCAGTTACTGGCCTGAAAATGGAGCAATGATAACTTTGATGTACCGTCATTGTGCTTATAAATGGTTACAGCCAATTTTGATTGCATAATTTGCATTTCCAATAAACCAGAAAAAAATAATCTTATGTATATATACCATACAATAAGAGTAAGTATTTACATATTTCTAAGAAAACCTGAATATAAATTTCATGGAAGTATTTTTCATAGTAGTATTAAATTGTACGTAGCCTAAATATTCATCAATAGGAGAATGAATAAGTAAATAATGATTATGTTTACACAGTGGCAGCCTATATAATGGAGAACTTCAGCTTTATTAAAGTATTTAATCTCACAGAAATAATGCTTAAAGATAAAAGCAAAATGCAGTGAAATGCATACAACATGCGATTTATGTAAAGCTAATAAACATGCAAAACAATACAATATATTGTTTAGATTTATAGATATATGCTTAAATAATGCAAAATAAATGCATGTAAATAGTAAACACTAAATTTAGAATAGTGGTTATTTCTGGAGGTCCTTGGAGGATGATAAATGCAATCTGATATGGGTACAGATTGAACAAAGCTTCAATTTTATTTGTAATTAATAATTACTTTTTTAAGTTCAGTTTGAATACACAGTTGTTTACTGTATTACTCTTTCAATTTTTTGCATCTGAAATATTTTGTTATGAATGTGAAAAATCATATCAAGGGATACATGTTTTTGGATTGAGGAGCAACACATTTTATACAATAATTTTCCCTTTTATACATGGAATTAACAATGATTATATCAAAGGTCAATATAAACGAAAAATAAAGACAACAAAGTAAGAAAATGTATGAAGAGACAATGAACAGAAGAGTGTAAAACAATGCAATTAGAGTCAAGAACAGATCAAAAATCGAAAATAAAGAAACTAGTTAAGAGAGAATATATAAAAACAATAAAACAAAAAGATTATCAATAATGTAGATTAATCAGTTAGGGCATAAAATGTGATACTCTGGTAAAATCTGAGAATCTTTCCATTTGAAATCATAGATATATTTGTTATTTAGGTAGGAGCAGATATCTGTGGATTTGTGGGTAACACCACAGAAGAGCTATGCAGAAGATGGATGCAACTTGGGGCATTTTATCCATTTTCCAGAAACCATAATGCTGAAACATACGAAGTAAGTGACTTAACTTTTGTTCTCCATGTTTTGAAATACTGTATACCCATATTATTGGCAATGTACTTAAGCTTAAATCTGCAGAAGACATGGTCTGAAAGATTGCAGCATAATTCTTAAAGAATAGCCAGCAGTCCTCTTGTCAAGATGTACAAATATTTTGTATTTCCCAAAAAAAAAGGTCAACTAAGGAAATATGAAATAACGTAGTCACAACATAAATATTTTATTTAAGCCTAAAGCATATTCATGTATGTTAAATTATTAGTATTTTAAATTAGACCCAGTGCTTTTCGTTTGAGTTGAATTCTACCTGTATAAGTTCCAGGTAATTTTTCTTTCATAAAAATGTTATATTATCAAGGATTTCCAGTTTTTGTTTCATAAAAGAAAAATAAGAAATGAAAGACACTTGAAAAGTGATTTGAGTCCAGAGTCCTTCTATAATTAATAAAACTGGCATAACCTAGATTGGGAATAAGTAAAACTATCACTTTTAAAACATGTATATGCACTGGTGGAAACAGAAATTCAAGGACATATAGAGCTATTCCACCAGCCCGCTTCAGCACTTTTTTCCAGAGGGAATTGTAAAATTCGGTTAACCCAGTAAGTCAATTAAGTGCATGATGATCGAGAAATCTTCTACTGTTCATATATTGGTTGCGTATAGGGCTTTAATTCTGTTTGAGAAGAGGCACGACCACTCAGAACTCATCAGGAAGGAAGCATGATCAAATAGAATTAAATGGTACAAATCAGAAATTATTCACTTCCTAATAAACCTAAATGGTATTTTCTAGAAAAAAGTTATGACAAGCAATCCTGATACGAATTGCATTACAGAGTGTTAATTTGTATCTTCCAAGAAACAAACACTGAGACACAATTAATTTGTTTCTGTTTGGGAACATGGAAAGGATTTATTGGGGAAATGCCTGGGGAGGGTAAAGAGACAGGAATAGGAGAGTGCAGGGAGAATCTTTAGACCACAGTGCAGGTCTGAACCTGGTAAAAAAAAAAAAAAAAAAAAAAACAAGAAGAAGACAGGGAAGGAAAGAGGTCTGGTAGGGAGAGTCTTGAACTGTGGCCCAGTTCTTACAAAGTTTCAGTCAGGCCAGTGGGGGAATCCTGGAAGCTATGTCACACTTTGGAGGACTACGTCACACATTGGAGGAGTCTTGCATCTCCCAGGAATGGGCCTTCAGACTACTCCCACCCTGCTTCTTCACTGACTAGGAGCAGCAAGAAGAATGTGTAACCTCAGGTGGTGGACGCAGGGCGGCAAGAGTGGGGACCCTCAGTTAAATTTGTTACCGTTAGCAGGATATTTGAGCAGTAGTGCTCACATCACTCACTGCACATTAGCTGAGGAGGTCAAGCTGATCCAGGCCAGGCTCAGCAGGGAGGCTGTACTTCAAGTTGCAGGTCTGCAGGCCAGCCAGGTAGCTCTGCTCCTTGTTTCTCTGGGCCTGCAGACAACCTGGGCATATTCTTCTAATGACAATGGCAAAGCACAAGACAGAAAGTGTTCACACAAGCACATTTCAAGCCCTTGCTTGAATGTGTCACAGGTACTGACATCACATTGGCCAGAGTATGTCACATGGCTGACCACAAAGACAAGGGATGGGGAAGAACATTCCACCTTTAGTGGTAAGTCCTGCAAAGTTCCATGGCAAAGCGTGTGGATACAACAAAAGGTGAAGAATTGGAAGCAATAATTCATTCTATCACAGTTAATATACATGAAAACTCTATTTCGTTAAAATATTATTATCTTTTCTAAGTATGTATATGTAAATGAGAAATGTCCATTACAATATAAAGTTTAATTAAAACACATATTCAAGTGAAAACTAGAAATATCCAAGAACTTTAATTATGAAACAGAGGAAATTTCAATTTTTTAAAAACAAACTGAAGTTTTTACAATTTGCTGTTTAAAATAGATTATAATGCTTCACTTTTAATTTTCAATCATATTTTACCTTTCTTATTTCAATTTCTTTTTTTTATCATCCAGCACCAGGATCCTGCATTTTTTGGACAGGACTCTCTTTTGGTTAACTCATCAAAGCACTATCTGACTATTCGCTATACGTTACTACCTTTCCTCTATACTCTGTTTTACAAAGCCCATCAGTTTGGAGAAACAGTAGCAAGACCAATTCTTCACGAGTGAGTAAAATATTCAGTAACTTAACTACCTCTTAAAGTATGTTCCCACCCACCCTCCCTCTTTCCCTCCTTCCCTCCTTCCTTTCTCCCCTGCTTCCTGCCTTCCTTCCGTCATTTCTTCTTTTCTCCTTCCCTCCTCTCATTTCCTTCCTGAGTGCCACATGAACTGTTAAAGTTATAGCACAATGAATTCAAATGACATATTAAACAAGTAAAGGTTAAAGCTAAAAATTAATCCAAAAGAAAAACTGAAGAGAACCTAAACAAGGATTTGAATGAACTTATTTTTTTAAATTTTTATATGTTACATATTGTCATTGTTCTTAGGTTTTATGAGGATGAGAATAGTTGGATTGAGGACACTCAGTTCTTATGGGGCCCCTCATTACTTATTACTCCTGTCTTAAAACAGGTAGGTTTTGCATGTTTAATAAATTTATGGCTTAGAGGGAACTATGTATAACTAAATTCAAATTAAATTACAAAACATCTTTGTAAGAGATATTATTCGGTAGTCTTTTCCAAGCTGATGTCTAATTGAATTCTAAATGTAGAAAATTTTTCAAATAATTATGAAAATATTAAATACATCTGTGCTTATCAAATATTTAATATCTAACTAGGACAAGAGAATTATATAAAATTAGTATTCTTTTGAAAACGGAAGCTTTATTTATTGACTCAAAATGAAATCTTATAAAAATAACAATGAGCTCTCATTTAAGCACATGTAAACATTACAATTTTGCTAAATTGTAAACAAAGGAAACTTGAAAACCAGATAGTTACTGATAATACGAAAATGATGAAAAAATAGTAAAATGATTTATTATCTATTTTTAAAAGGTTGTGTGTCCATGGAGAGATAAAGGAATAAATATGTTTCCATTCACAATTACCATGTAGTTTATAGCAATATAAATGCATTTTTTAAATTGCACCTACATTATTTTCATCTTTGCCTGTTTGCTTTTGGCATGTATTGCATTATGACATTATCTAAAACTAGTAAAGTAACCTTTTGATTACTACATATCAGAAATACTGGAGTATAGCAGTACAGACAAGGGTTTTTTCTTTCCTTTGACAATGATTCTCTCCTGTTAAAAATTGAAATTAAATAACTGTATTTTTTCTTGTTTTCATATTAGGGAGCAGATACAGTGAGTGCATATATCCCTGATGCTACTTGGTATGATTATGAAACTGTAAGTAACACTAATACAATAATGGGTTAATAAGAATTATATTTTTAAAGGGACAGTGTTGACATGTTGTGAGGTTGTTAACCATTGTCATAAAACACTATGTGTACTGTTTAATGAGAAACTATTTGTTCTGTAAACCTTCATCTAAAGTACAATAAAAAAAATAAAAAAGCACACACACAAAAAGAATTATATTTTTAAACATCTGTACATAGAAACAACTCAAAATACATAAGTATATATATTTTCAGGATTTCTCTCATTATAAAAAGGAATACTTTCATATTCAAGAATATATAAAAATTTACGTAAGTCTACTATTTGTTGCACATAAGCTAGACTTTAATATAAAATTATATTTGTTAGTATTAAGGATTGTATTCTTCATTTTAAAATTGGGGAAATAAAAAATCAGCAGTAATTTTAGGAAGGAGTGCTAACTTGCATTAATTTTTTTTATATTATGTTATATTATTGCCAAAAGAATTATGTATTTAGCTAATCATAAGCATTTGTTTTTATAGGGAATAATCAAACATTTGGAAAAGTTTTTTAATTTCAGCATTGAAAAGGCAACATAGTAGCATTCACATCTACAATCCGTTTTTTGTTCAACCAAGAGCTTTTGAGAAGTATTTATTTTAAAAGGTGTTATTTTGCATATCACATGTTTGCTTTAAGCAGATCCTTAATTTATACAGAAACAATGATTTAAAACACCCTCAAAAAACCTTTTTTAAAGATAGAGTTAACTTTAAACCAAAGCAAAAAAAAAAAAAAAGTGGCACTAATTAAGGATATTACTCATTACTGTAGAAAGAAAATGGATTTCTCTTTTTGTATTTTTATTTTTTTAATAAAGAGGAGTTACTTCTCTCCTTGCTATGGTAAGTAAACTGAAAAAAAAGATTTCTTTAAAAGTTAGAAAACAGTTACTAATATTCATTTAGATGGCATGAATGCTCATAATAATAATTGTTTCCAGGTATAAATTGTAGTTTTTGTAAAATGAGGTTTGAAGTCTTCGTTAATAATAAACAATATTTTTATTTTCCAAATATTAGGGTGCAAAAAGACCATGGAGAAAACAACGGGTTGATATGTATCTTCCAGCAGACAAAATAGGATTACATCTTAGAGGAGGTTACATTATCCCCATTCAGCAACCTAGTGTAACTACAACTGCAAGGTAGAATGAAAAACCACTAATTCAAATCTGAAAAATAATTTAATTTTGATAATATTTTATATTTTTGCTAACATTCATAAATTAATACTTAGTTTTTTCATCAGAAGCTATTTAACACATGGGGGAATTCTTAACTATAACCATCGTTGTTATAAAAAGCATCAAATTTTGTGTAGTGTTACAAATCTCTTGATTTAAAAAATGAATTTAATTAGACTGGAATTTTATTTCCTGTGGTAAAATTTACAAAAATTATCTATAGGATATTTGAAATTAAAAAATAATCTCTGATTCTTCATAAAAATATGAAATATTAAAATTTGTTACATAATCAATAAATCCATGTGTCAATTTCTTCATATTTTGGTTCTCACTGCATAATCAAAAAAAATTTTTCTGCTTAAAATGTTTTAGTTTTTAAGTTAATAAAAGAAGTGGATATTTCCATTTATGTAAAGGCAGGAAAGAAGTTTTTCAGCAAGACTCCAGCTCAGAAATATTTAGAAAAAAAAGAAACTTGAAAATTAATGCTCCATCTAACAATATTCATTATAGGTGAAAGGGCAGTGAATGCACATATTTTCCCATATTCTGAAACAGCCCAAAAGATAGTTACTATCTGTTGGTCTTATGTATTTTATCCTTGACTTTAAGAATATCAGAAATTAGATAATTTACTTTTTCTTGTATGTGGTATATCTACTCCCCTAGACTATAAACTCCAGAAAGGCAGGCACTTAACTTCTCACTGCTGTGTCCCCAAATTTATAATAGTACCTGATTCATAGTAGATCCTCTATTTTCTAGAAATATTTGTCTATAAAACAAATGAATGAGTGAATGGATGAATGTTAGTAATGTAATTACTTTGGCATTCTAGAATTGATTATTCTCAAAATGTAGCTGTTTCATGACTATATTCTCCAAAAATTGATTATACTCTAGAGCTGTACTGAACATGAAAAATGTACACTCTGGTAACTGCATTCCTAAAGGAATATATTCTATATAGAGCAGTTGACCGGACTGTATAGTCTCATGCATACTATTTTAGGATTCAAAACCTATTCTGTTGTTGTTGTCAGGTGCTGTTGAGTCAGTTCCAATTCATAGCAACCCAATGTACAACAGAATGAAACCCTGCCTGGTCCCACACCATTCTCACAATCGTTGTTATGCTTGAGCCCATTGTTGCAGCCACTGTGTCAGTTCCCCTCATTGAGGGGCTTCCTCTTTTTCGTTGACCACCTACTTTACCAAGCATAAATGTCCTTCTCCATAGTTTATCTAATTAAGAAAAACATGTCTTATTTTTCCTGATACTATTAGATTCATTTATAAGGTTGCTAGAAACCCTCCTCCCAATTTTTTTTTAAATACATTGTATTTAATTGTTCTTGTGCAAATGTTTTAATAACATACAGACTTGATACACAGAAATTTAGGGTTAATTTATATGTAGTAAATATAGGTTGAAATGAGCATTGGTAAGATACATTTAATTTTTCTTGTTTAAATTGAAATATTATCATACCAGTTCAATTTTTCAGTAGTCTCAGCCTCAGTGAAAGTCACTGTTGTATTTAGTACATTTATTCTTTTTATTTTTTAACTATATAAATTATTTTTTCTCATTGAAAAATTATTAGTAAGCATACACATTAATTTTATTCATACTAATATTCTTATGTGAATGCAGAACTCCTACAAAACTGTTAGGGTGAAATGGGTTTGCTTGTAAGATATTTCACTATTATCAATTTATTTTTAATCATATATGCACCCAATGTTACTTAACAGCCGTAAGAACCCCTTAGGACTTATAATTGCATTAAATGAAAATAACACAGCAAAAGGAGACTTTTTCTGGGATGATGGAGAAACTAAAGGTAAGTCTCAAATTGCAATGCATTTAAATGTTCATTCTGATGATGGGAAATTTTGCCTTCATTTGTTGGTATAAAATTGCATCTATTTTAAAAATCTCAGAAGTTTTAGTTTTTAACTCCTTGTTTTTTTAGCCTGTATTAGGCTTTTAGATGATTTTATAAATTTTACATTGTTATTTACATATTAAAAAAAAAAGTTGTCAATGAGTCGATTCCGACTCATAGCAACCCTGTATACTTGATTGCAATATCTAATTCTGTGTATTGACTTGTTGTAAGAGTCTTTGTCAAATGTAGATCTCTTTATCTATTATTATTATTTAAATTAAAATAGTTAATAATCTCCCAGATGTACAAATTAGATCATATTTTCAGCAGTGTTTAATGACTATAGTGGTTAAAATTAAAATTTTATTACTGTAAACAAAATAAACCAACATTTAAAGCTTCAGTTAATGAATGTCAAATCATCTGAGGCAAACTGTTACCACATAAATAGCTCACAATTATTTCCATGGTTAAACGTTTTTTAATTTTATTTCATGAACCCCTTATCTGGAAGTTCATTACACAGAGTGAATAAAAAATGAGCCATTTTATTTAAATAATTATAGGGTAGTAAATTAATCTGTTTAGTTTTAATCTTTTATAGGTTTCCTCATAAATTTGTTAAAATTTTATCCTATTTCTTTATTACAAAGAGCTCATGGGTATGAGTTCTTTATGTGTGTACAAAATGTATGATGTATGGTTTCGTTCATTATTTTAATTCACAAATTCTCAGATGTATTTATTGTATGCATTTAAATGTGTATTCAATATCCAAATATCTGAAGTAGTTTATTTTTGATGTGCTCTTCTATAATCTTAAAATATGGAATCTATGAAAAGAAATTTTTTTTACTCTTATCTATCTATAAAAATATAGTTACTTAAAAAACTACCAGAGGGATTCAATAATTCTGTCCTACAACTTAATCAATAATATGTATTTATGGTGTTACATCAATGTATTCAATATTAAACTTGTTCTGTAGAACAATTTATTCACTGGCAGAATTCTCTTGATGCAAGCTGTGAAATAAGAGGTAGTATTCACAGTCATTTCTCCTAAATGTCCTCTGTTCTCTTCTCTATTTGCACTGTTTCCTTTAATGAGTGTAGTCTTTTGTGCCATTTACCTAACTCGCAAACTTATATCTCTAGATCAAAACTTGGTCTACTTTACATATCCGTTTGTATGTCTAATAAATATTTAAAATATAACTTCCAAAAATATAACTCATAATCTCATCGCCCTATGTCTGCTCCACCTACAGTCTTCCCCTTGTCAATTGATGGTAACGTCATTTCTACAGATGCCAAAAACCTTGGAGTTGACTCTTCCCCCTCACAACCTAGGAATTTCTCTAGGTTCTACATTGATTTGAATCCTCTCACCAGCACCATCACTATCCCCACTATCTTTCTTTAAAATTACTACAATAACTCCCTAACCAGTCTATGTAGGTCTATAGTTATTGACAACCCCCTTTATATTCTATTTGCAATAGAGCAACCGGAGTGATTACTGTGAAAGGTGATTCAAACCATCACACCACTACTGAAAACCCTCTAATTGTTTTTCCTCTTACTCAATTCCATCAAGATCTGTGTGCTTGTGCATGTGAACACATGCACACACACACACACGCATCTACACACACACACACACAATTCCCTACTGCTCTCCTTTTCTCACTCTCCTGCAGCACACCAACTCCCCTACTCATTCTCAAACATCCTAAGGCCTGAGGACACTAGGGTGAGCTCTCCCATGAGAAGAGGCTCCAAGCACTTGCAACATAGAAGTTCCCTAAAAGTGAATTCTGGCAAAGCCTAAACTACTTGTAGTTATCAATCAAAGAGTATTGTTGAAATAATTCCTCTACTGGTGGCATGTGGTACCAGATTTTAACATTACTCCTATTTCTCCAATTATAAAAATATTCCTTAAATATCCCTTTCTTTCTACCTGTAAAAATTTATGCTGATAATCTACTTTCATGTAAGCACATGGTTAAGAATACATAGGAGATATGGCTTAATCTGTTATCTAATATGATATCTATATAGTCTGTGCTTTAAAAAAGTTAAAGAAAATCAGAATTTTCTGAGTAATGGATTTGTAAACAAGCTTGCAAACACACAATACATTACCTTTAGTTAGGATTCTGATGCTAATTTTATTTTCCTAGGATTTAAATTCTAAGTAAATTAAAATTATTGAAAGTATTACTTATAAGGAGCCCTAGTGGCTCAGTGGTTAAGTGTTTGACTGCTAAACAAAAGGTTGGCAGTTTGAGTTCACAACTGCTCCTTGAAAACCCTATAGGGTGATATGGTTGCTATGAGATGAAATCTACTTGGCGACAATGCATTTACTGTATATACATTTTAGGGTTCTTACTATATTTTTTTACTCCATTCTCTCCAAATTAATTTTGTCCTAATCTTCTCTGTAAAAGATATATATTGATAAAATAAAGTTTTATTACATACATGATGCAGGAAATTTTTTTCTTCATTTCCTTCCTCAAACTTTATTTCAATCTTTATCATGTCCCCAGCTGCATCTTTTTTTTCCCCTCAAATAATAAAATAAAATATATGCAAAATACAATTGTGGTGGGCCAAGCCTTCCCAGAGTGAGTAATGGTTTTGTGGTTTAGTAGGTAGAAAATATTCGAAATAATAAATTTCCTTTTCTATATACATTTTACTAGTATTGTTTTCTCTGAATTTTCAGAAATAGTTTTACAGTCTTTGAAAAATAAAACCTAGGCAACTGTGAATTAATTAGATATTCTTACAGGGAAGTGAAAATACCAAGATTTATTTTATTTAGAGACAATTTAAAAACTTAATTTAAAGGGAAAATCTGTCTAATGTGCTTCATTAATAAATAATATTTAATTTTTTCAAATTCCTTAAATATTGCAAACCTGTAAAAAATGGTCTGACTGTACATTTTTCTGATAATTTTATTTTTTTCTTTTTCAGATACCATACAAAATGACAACTATATATTATACACATTTTCAGTATCTAATGTAAGCATTCTCCTTGGACACATAGTTTAATATATATTTTGGTAATGTCTAGGTTATTTTTTATGATGCATTTTTTAGAATGGTGTTTACTTATTCCTCCATATTTCAGTGGAAAGCAGTGAAAAAAATTATTACAGTAAATTTGTAAATTTAAATTGTTAAATTGTAAATAAATTACCATTAAATTTTATATTTAAATATAATAGATGAGTTTGTGGTCATGACATTGATGCACAAAAGTATCTAGACTTCTTAAAGTATTATACCTTGTTTTAAGCTACATGCCTTAGAAAAATAATTTCAACATATTTAAAAATCTCTTAATGTATCAGTCACTGCAATAACTGGTATGGATTTGGGGTGAAGATGAAAAAACTATACACAAGGCCAAATGTTTTGAATAATTAATAACCAATGTTGGATTTCTTCAAGTATTCCTTTTTGCCAAAACTAAGTTATTCTTCATCAATATTAGGGCTAGAACCAAAAAGGTATATATGAGTTGCATCAAGAATAATTTATCTCTAAAAATAAATTTTATAGCAAGTATACCAAAAAAAAAAAGCTTGAAAACAATTACCAAGGAGTATTTTTATATATGCTACTTACATGGAGAGAGCTGTGATAGCGGAAGGTAGATGATTGGTTTTCTTCCTCTTTCACACCTCTATTGTTATTTCAGGTTTGTGTCCAAAGACTTCCTACTTAACACATGATTTTTTTTTTCAGAATACTTTAAAAATTACATGCACACATTCATCATACCAGGAAGGAACCACTTTAGCATTTGAAACTATAAAAGTCCTTGGGTTGACAGACTCTGTTTCAGAAGTTAGAGTGGCAGAAAATAATCAAACACTGACTCCTCATAACAATTTTACTTATGATGCCTCCAACCAGGTAAATTAAATGTTTTAAAATATTACAACTGATTTATATTCCCACATTTAACATTATATAACCATTCAAGTACTTGGTCTTGTGATATTTTCTTTCTTCATGACATATATTCCTATTCTTTCTTTTCATCCATTTTGCAGCCAATATTCCATTTTATGCTATTTCTATTTACAATTAGATATCAACATTAAGGGATATCCTTGCCACTGCTCATTCTCTATTTCATTTTATCTTGGAAATCACTTATAGTTGTCTTCCTAATTTTTTTTCATAGCATTCTCCTGCTCTGAATTCTAATTTTCTATTATTGCATACAATATAGATTCCAAATGTTTTGATTTCTCACTAAGACTTTAAAACATTAATTTAATCCATTTATTTGGCCGTTCTCCCTTCTCCCCCTTATATGAGTGCTCAGTGTCCTCAGAATATGTCTTGCACATTTCTGACTTCATATTTTTGTTTACACTCTTTCTTTCCAGTAGAATGCCTTCCTTATCTTGTCTATTTAACAGATGTAGTAGAGAAGGAAAACGATTCTCAGAAGTGGACTCTAATCCCAGTCTTGCTGTCTAAGCATTTAAATGCACTAAACTGATCTCTCAGAATCTCCACTTCCTCATCTGTAAAATGTAATAGTTAAATCATAGTGTAGTTTTGGGTAACAAATTAATGTATTTCAAATGTTAGACAATAATAATTCAAATCAGGAAAGCTGCTTTTATTGACGTTTACTTTTCTACCATTCATATAAAACTAAATGGTTAGTAATATTAGCAGAAATAAATTCTAAATTATTTGAGAAAAGGAGTATTGCCTTATGATATTTTTTCCTAACTCTGTCCTACTGTTAAGCTCTCTGTCTTACTGTTTTTCACTTAGCAAATTTCAGAAAAATGCATAATAGTTAACTCTTTTTATTTAGTAAACAGACTATAATTTATAAATCCCTAACACTGTAAGAAGAAATCAATATAAATATAAAACAGGCTTTGAGAACTTTATGAATATAAAAAAGATTATCAAGAGGACACAATACAAAATTATTTTTTATGGTTATGTGTGTAAGCTCAATTTGTGTCTGTTTATTTTTATGCCTATCTTAATATATACAGAGACACTAATAGATATACCTTTCTAATCCTGCTGTGCTTAGGCTGATCTTTATATAAATTTTCTTATAAGTAAAGTTGGAGGATATCCAAAAGCAAGCTATCCAGAGGAAAGTCTGCTTTGGATTAAATCTTGCCCGTGTTATTCCGAAGATATATAAGCAATAACTAAACTTAACATTGCAATATCCTAATAATAGATATAATTTTGTATTAGAATATATATTCATAACTCTCCTCTTATTTTTTTTCCTTTTTTTACATGTCATATTATTTCTCCTCCAACTTGTCCCTCAAACATTGTAAGCAGTGAATAAAATTAGAGAAAAGTAGGAAATAAATATATATTCCCTTCCTCCAGCTTTGAAAGCCTCCATGTTAAACAAACTGGTCAATTTTTCTATCTTGTATATACCTTGAGTAAATATATATTTGATTCATAGTATGTCTAAAGCGTTGTGTTAGGTGTTTGAAATTTCACACCTCATTCATTTTGCATATCATCCTCTTTCAGTAGAAGTCATTATCCTCTCCTAAAGGGAGGGAGATTGAGAATAATATAAGATATACAATGTGCCCAAAGACACATGAGCATTGAATGTCAGAACTAAGTACTGAACTAATGTCTAGATGCAAAGATAATGCTTTGCATCAGTATTCTACTATACCTCTCAAGGCTTTCCTGATGTGAGCTTTTAGCATTTCAGCCACAAGATTTTTTTTTTTCTTTTTTCCACTCAGTTCCAATTCTTTCTATTTTTTTATATTCCACTTGAATACAGTTATTCAGGTATTATATCAAACTGTTAATGATTTGATTTGAGAAATGCTGTGGTTGCTGCATTTCATAAAATGTTAAGTATTTTAAAAAATTGTCCAATGGTCAGAGATAGTCTAATGATATTTTTGTTTTCAAAGATTCTTCTAATTGAAAATCTCACACTTAATCTTGGAAAAAGCTTTGAAGTTCAATGGAATCAATTTTTCTCAGAAAATGAAAAGTTTACTTGTTATCCGGATGCAGACACTCCAACAGAAGAAAACTGCATACAACGTGGCTGTTTATGGGAAGCGGTAATAAGAATTTTAAATATGACTCTGATATGACTTTCGCATAAGCATTTCAGTGTAAACTTTACATATTATAATTTTAATTTGACAGCATATCAAGTAAATTCATCTTGTGATGTGTTTGCAATTTGAAATTAGCACCTCTGATAGACAATTTATTTTTATCTTAATTATTACTTCAAAGATATAGCTTAACAAGTGTCATACTAAATGGGTGTGTAAGTTGCTTTCCATGCACACTTTGGAAAATGTGCCTTTATTTTAAGAAAATAGTACTCTATTTGTTGCACTTATTAAATGTTGACAGTGCCTGACTAGCTCAATTGGGTAAGATATTAATTATGTCAGTAGGGAACAGTCTTTCAAAAGCATTATTTCAAGGTACTAAAACTTCTGAAGTCGGGTGACAGGCTAGGTCTCTTCCCCTAAGTGGTATAATTTCTCATCACCTATTTTGGCCAGTCTTTAAACAGAACAGTGATGGCTCTGGATGGCAGATGTTTTAACCAATGTTACAGAAAAGAGATATGGGAAGAGTCTCCTGTTGCTGTGCTTGTTTTTCAAATCCTAGGCCTTTTGCATCATCATTGGGTTTTGTCATCAAAAAATCTATTTCGTATAACCCAGGGAGGAAATGCATGTGTTTTTCTACAGAGAAGAGTCAACTGCCAATAGCTTCCCAGACATATCTGTATTTCTTTGAGAGATGTAGAAAAATTGCACCCATTCCTTTCCATTGCTTGATAAAGCAGCATAATATTTACCATTAGGAAAGATTAAGGAAGAGTTAAAGAAAAGAAATGAGGAGCTGAGAAAATTTTGAGATCAACGAAGGTGAAATAGTGCATTATTTTTCCATTTCTCCAGTATCTTCCCTTTAACATGTAGATCTCCAGTCAAATCCCCATTGTATTCAGAGCATGCTTACTTACTTCCACTATCAAAACCAATGTAAAGGATGAGTGTTAATTAATTTTATTAAAGCACAAATATTTTCTAAAGGTGGAAACGTGAAAATAATGTTACAGATTCTTAGGTCAAATTATTTCAAGCATAAGAAGCCATTAAATGTGTTGATTTAGAGTGCTTATATATATATATATATATATACTTGTGTTTCCTTAGAACACACTCTTTATTCATTGCTTCATTTAACAAATATTTATTGAGCCCTTCTATGTTCTAGGGACTGTTTTAGGTAAACAAAATAAATTCCCCTGCCCTGACGGAGCATTTATTTTAGTATGGAAAAACAAACAAATAATAGAAAAATGCTGTATTATGTTACATAAGTACTACAGAGAAAAATAAAGCAGGAAAACCAACAGGGGAATGCCAATTGTGTAATTTTAAAGATTGGATAAGGAAGCTTTCTTTAAGAAGGTGACATTTGTTAAAAAATCTGAAAGAAAGGAAGAAAGGGAGGGATTCTCCAGAAAGAAAAAGATCAACCTGAAGTGAGCTTGAAGTAAGAATGTACCTAGCATAGTTCACAAGCAGCAAGGAGGCCACTGTGTCTAAAACAGAATGAGTGAGGGGAAGAACAACATGAAATGATGTCATAGACACATAGAAACAGGTAATGTAGATTTCTTGGGCCCTTTTTAGGATTATGATTTTTACTCTGAAATAGGATGCTAATGAAGAGTTTTGAACAGCCATCACTGGGCTTCATTTTAATGGGATTATAATGGCTGCTATGTTGATAACAGACGGTTAGAGGAGCAAGGCAGGGAAGCCTGGTAAGAGGTTGTTGCAATAATCAAGGCAAAATATCACACAAATTGGGCCAGAGTGGTGATAGTAAACTAGTAAGAAGTGGTTGTCTTTTGTCCATATTTTTAAAATAAAGCCAGTAGGTTTGTTCTTTCATTGCATGTAGAATATAAGAGAAAGACAAGAATAAAGAATGACTAAGTTTTTTAGTTTGAACAAATAGAAGAAAGGAGTTTATATTACCAAACATTGGGAAGACTGTGAGAAAAGCAAGCTTAGAGGGGAAGAGCTATGTTTTAGACAAATTAAGGTTGAGAAGCCCAGTAGAAATCCAAGAGCAGTTGTCCAGTGGTGAGTTGTATTTAAGTTAAAGAAATTCAGAATTTTATATCCCAAGTAAGATTTACAATTTAGATTATAATTTCTAAAGTCATGTGATGGTACGATACCATCAAGAGAATGAGCTGGGATAGAAAAGGAAAGAGTTTCAAAGGTTAAACACTAGATAATGCTAACTTATTGTCAGGGAAATGAGGAGGAACAAGAAAAGAGATTTAGAAAGAACGGCAAAGAATTTGGTTGAAAACAAAAAGGAATTTTGGGTCCTGGAAGTCAAATGACCAAAGCAGTTCAAGAAGGTAGAAATAATCAACTGTACAAATTATGCTTATAAGTCAGTAAGTTGAGGACTGAAAACTGACATTTAGCTTTGTCAACATGGAAAATTTTTGGAACTTTGACAAGAAAGGTATTTATGGAGTGTTAGAGGTAAAATCCTGGTTAGAGTGAGTTCAAGTGTGAATCAAGGGACCAGTTGGAGATAAGGAGTATAGTGAATTCTTTTATGTTTTGCTGTAAAGAAAGCAGAGAAATAGGGCAGTAATTGAAGAAGTTAGTGAGGTTAGAATTTCTTTCTTTTTTTAACTGAGAGAAATAGCAAAATGGTTTTATGCTGTTAAGAATAATTTATAATGAGTGAAATATTAGTGATGCGAGAGAGAGTAGAAAGGATTGCAAGAGAGATTTTCTTGTAGGCAAAAAGGCATAGGATTGGAACACAAATGAAATGGATCACCTTAAATAGAAGCACAGAGAGTATATATCTTATGTGAGCAGGTAAAGAGGCAGAAAGGTGGGTAGATGTGGTGTTTAGTTCTGATTGCTGTCTTTTTCATATTGAAATAACAAGGGAAACTATTAGGTGACAATTAGGATCCGGAGAGACTTGCTGGAGGTGTGAGAAGAAATGAAAATGTCATGTAGGGCCATGTGTGATAGTGAATTAACTAGGAAATACAGTAAGACTGCGCCATTAGGCCCTCTTTTGACTTTCATGATTATATAAAGGGAGAGCACTCAGCATGGTTGTATGTATTTTCCTAGCCACATTCAACCACATAGTTGCAGGCATTTAGAAAATAGAGAATTTTTTTTCTAGGATTGTATTTTTGCCAGCTGAATGTGAAAATGCAAGCAAGGGGCATGAGAATTACAGTTATATGAAAGGGAATGATTATAATGATCAACAAAAAAAGTAAACTTGGTAAGAGGGAATTTAAGACACTAAGGAGTGAGGGAAATAAAAGGGCTGGATTGTGTAGTTACTCTGGTTTTGGTCACTCTATCTATGGACTTTTAATTTGCCCACTTTCATGGGAAATCAAACAATAAAGAAAGAAAAGATATATTTTCCCAAATTTGAATATAATAAATAATTAGTGGTGTTCTCCAAATCACTAATAATTTAAGAAAACAATCTTATGTCCAAATTCTTAGCACCTTTCTGATTCTTCTAAATCATGACAGTATTCACCTAATTTCACATTTGTACTTAGAGCTGATTGCAGGTCACATGAACTCTAAGGGTCCTACTGGTCAAATGACATCTGAGACAGTGGGTCTCAAACTTCAGAACCGGTATCTAAATGTAACCTTTGTACTACTAAAATCTGTAGATGTATTTGGAGAAGGGCAGATTTGAGAATAATAATAAACTACTCGAAGATTCATTATAAATTTAATCAACTATGTATTACTTGGGCAAACAAATATTAGCTTATAGATCTTTATAATGTTTCTCTAAATTAATTAACCAGATTATTTTCATCCTAATTACAAAAGATAGCATTGCCAATGGAAACTATCAACAAGAAAAATAACTGAGAAAAACGGTAATGAGAAAGGGGAAATGATGCTATAGTGAAGAATATCTATGGGGGAGTCATAGACAAGCTTTACAATTTTCCAAAGTCAGTTGTATTTTTGGTTCTATTGCCATGCATTTCATGCACTGAATTTGGAATGAGTGCTGTACTACGCATTTCAGTTAAAGATCACTTTAAGATAAAAGTATGAAAGACTTAGTATCTTAGTAGCTTAAACAAAACAGGATTTATATTTCTCTCAAAAAAAGATAATCCCTGTCCTAATATACTCAATGTCCATTAAGGTCCCCGGATCCTCCATTTGATTTTCATCCTCAAAGTTGTATTATGGCTTCAGCCATTATATTGGCATTCTGGACATGTAGAACAAGAATGGTGGAAGGAGCAAAGACATCTCAATTTAATAAGCTTATACACCTTTCTGTTAAGGAGCCTTCAGGGATCATACACAGCTTTTACAAAAGAGTCTCAGAAATGTTTTAGATGAGGACATTGCTGCTCCCAACAACACAATAATTAACTAAATAAAGAAGATGAGGGTGGTGGGTTATAGTAAGGCAAATATCCCTCAGTGCCACAGACAATCATTCTCTCTCTTAGGTCCTAGCTTCTGCCCCTTTATAAACCAATCAGCTGTGATCCTTGACCACATTTCCTGTAATCGACCAGTATAAGGACTCATCATGAAAGAGAGTTTCAATTACAAGTGAAAGAAAAGAACTGTAAGCACCCGCCCTTCTGAGGGTTGTTGTAGATCCATTTTCACATACAAAAACAGTCAATCTGAAGAGTAAAAACAAACATCAAATCCAATATTATTAGTAGTATACTTAATTTTTGCAAAGACAACACAATTCAATGTTATTTCCTGAGGTGAAAAGCTATGCATTTGATGCATCTGCTTTACTGGTCTATAGACAAAATACAAATATTCTATAAACATTTTAGTTCAAGTTGTCTCAGACTGCACAATAGGTATACTGTGTTGTCAGTGCAATTCCATTTTACTATTAAACAATAAAACTCGGAAATTATTCATTGTTGTTGTTGATGCTGTTAGTCATTGAGTTGGCTCTAACTCCTAGTAACCATAAGTATAACAGAACAAAGTGTTAACCAGTCCTCTGCCATCCTCACAATCATTGCTGTGTTTGAGCCCATTATTACAGCCTAAAAATAGATCTGCCTTATTTGTTAGAGTCAAATATTACAATACTTGCATATCTGACAGTGAACATGTATTTTGTTTTTTAGGTTTTTTCATCCAAATCGCCTGAGTGTTACTTTCCTAGAGAATACAACCCTTACTTAGTTAGCTCAACCAATTACTCATCAGTGGGTGTAACAGCTGACCTCCAGTTAAATGTTGCTCAGGCTCGAATAACGCTACCTTCTGTGCCTATCTCAACTCTTCGTGTGGAAGTGAAATATCACAAAGATGATATGCTGCAATTTAAGGTAAGATTAATATACACTGTATCAATACTTGACTCATATCTTGAGACAAGAGTTTTTTTTTTAATGTATTAGGTGCTTGGAAGTACAATATAGATGGTAAGGCTTAGTAATTGGTTTGATGACATTCTATAAAAACTTTTTTTTAACATAGCTCATAATTAGGTGCTTGACAAATGTAGCTTTTCATGTTTACTAATTTTATGAGTAATTAAATAAATAGCAATTTAAAAATATTTAAATTCTTGCTATAAAGATAATTAGCAAGTGACGGAAAACTGAACTATGTTGCTATCCGATTAAAATGAATCAAACAGAATGTTTATTTCACCTACTCCTCACTCATAGACTATCTTGTTATCTGGCATTTCACATTTATGACAACAGTAAAACATCTAATATCTGACAATTTTGCACATTAATAATGTACCTCTGGCAGTAACGAATGCTGAGATGTGAGGTGAGAGTAACACTGGTTGTGATGGTTAGGATTATATGCCAGCTTGACTAGGCCATGATTCTCAGTGGCTTGGCAGTTACGTAATGATGTAATTTGGCAGTTACGTAATAATGTCATCCTTCATTTTGTGACCTGATGTGGTCATCCTCCATTTTCACATAACATCAATTTTCACATAATGATCTGGTCTTTGGAACCTAACCATGTTGATAAGTAAGGAGTGGGTGTAGTTCCACAATTTTTAAATAGTGTTCTGATTTTTCTGGTCAATGCAATGAAATACGAAAAACTATATAACTTTCTCAACATTTGCAGTTAATAAATATTTTATTTAAGAACTCCAAGGGAACCCATTAAGAATTGTATTAGAAATAATAAGAAAGATAAGCAAAATGACTGCACAAAAAATAAAATGTCTCTAAACCCTTTTTTTCTGTAAATGATCATTCACCAATTAGAAGCTAAAAAGTTGGCCAACTGCGTTACCAAAAGCAAATGAAAACACAATCAAGTAAGCAATAAAAACAATTAAAAAATAATAGGAATAAGTAGACTGTGTATATGAGTAAAAAAGTCTGTTAAAAAATGTTAATAGATATATGAAATAAGTCCTAAAGAAAATCCTGAATAAGACTAAATTTTATTTTTTGAGTTAACTTATTTCGCTCAGTTTATGCCTTTAAAGTATTTTTGCTACAAATCTTAGAATTTATTTTGAGACTTTATAATATAAGCTTTAAGTACAACTAGAAAGACAAATATATGCAAATGGTTAAAACTTAAAAGGGAGTGATAACAATTTGCATAATTAAGACACTCCTGGAGGTAGAATTGTCTGACAGTTTATTATAACAGGGTGTCATAAAAACACATGGGATACAAAAATATATCATGTATATAACTTTCATGCAAAACAAAGCAAACTTCACAAATTAATGATAAATTGATTATTTTATTATCCATGAGGAAAAGTGGCTTGCCTCAAATCATATGTTGAAATAAAAGTTAGAATGAGTTGCATGTGAAAAATAAATCAAATAAAAAGGTAGAAAAACAATTAGCTACATATTTATTTTTTGTTTGGCTAGTCAAAGCTTTCAAACCACAAATACAAAGGCATAAAACCCATAAGTAAAGAACAATACATTTTCTTAATAAAAGTTAAACATACTTCCAAATAAAAAAATACTGTAAACAGAAAACAAACAAAAAAAGTGGGTAAATATCTGACAAAAATATGACAAAAAATAAACAAAACACTTTCTATCATAAAATCAAGAAATATACTAAGACCTCATAAGCAGACATTTAAAGGAAGAAATTGAAATTAAAAATAAAAATGTTAAAATATTTACATTCATTTAAAATCAAAGGAAAAAATTTTAAAGGAATATAAATGTCAATCATGTAAAAATAGGTGAAACCTCACTAGCAAGGAAATTAAATTGCAATTAAAAATAGATACTTTTAATGTGTGCATAAATCACCATTAGAGTACATGTTTTTGTGAAAATATAAATTAGTACAATAATATGTAAAGCAATTGGCCAGTAGATATCAAGAACCTTAAAAATGTTCATACACTATGACATAGCAATCGTATTTCTAAAAAGTGCACTGAGAAAATAACCAAAGACATGAATAAACATTAATGAGCAATAACACTCACTGCGGGATTATACATGTGACAGAAACATATTGGGACAGCTTCAGTTTCTAACCGTGATAGAATAAATAATTTTGATATATTCCTATAATAGAATTTTCAGCTCTAAAAGTTTTGTTTTTCCAGATGTTTCATTGTATAAAAAAGAAATACAAATCATCAAAAAAAACAAAAAAGTACAAAAACTCAATACTCAATTTGATCCCATCATATACATGTATATGGAATTTTACATAGCTGTATTGGCTATGGAGCCCTGGTGGTGTACTGGGTAAGAAGTATGCCTGCTAACCAAAAGCCTGGCAGTCTGAATCCACCAGCTCCTCCTTGGAAACCCTGTGGGGCAGTTCTGCTCTCTCCTGCAGGATTGCTCTGAGTCAGAATAGACTTAACGGCAACAGGTTTTTTATATTAGCCATAGATTTAGAGTTAGGAATTATATGAGAAACAAATGTAAGTATTCTTGTTTGAACTATTATTTCCATTATTAATGATTACTTAAATAATATGTCAACAGTAAGAGTAAACGATATCTAGTTTCATTATTTTTCTGCAATAGATTTATGATCTCCAAAATAAGAGATACGAAGTTCCAGTGCCATTAAACATTCCAACTGCTCCAACAAGCACTTACGAAAGCAGACTCTATGATGTTGAAATCAAGGAAAATCCTTTCGGCATCCAGATTCGTCGGAGAAGCACTGGTAGAGTTATGTAAGTGATTGACTTATTTTATATGAGGGCTGCTATGATTTTATTTTAGGATAAGGAAGGTAATATGATTATCTCACAACGTTCACTATTCTAGAATAGTATCACACCCAAAATAGTCTTAGTTGTATTAAATAACTTGGCCTATTTTAATGTTTCTAAGCTAAACAATTAACACACCCAGGGATCATCATAAAGGATTTATCTAAAATTTCATTTACATGTTGGATGTGATTGATTTCATTATTAAATATCAGACTCATTCTTCTAACCAAGCTGAGAACCAAAACCAATACTCCTCTTGAAAAGCATGATGAGAGTGGGCAAAAATAAGTAATTAGAAAGTGAGTTATGTAAACATTTTCTTAGAATTGTTGAAAATTGGAGTTTATTGCAACTGGAGTCTGATAAAGTTAATGCTATTTCTACCACTTATTAATGAAAGGAAATTAAGACATGTTTCTAGATACATTTTTATTTTGTAATAAACAGATTTAGTTTAAAAAATTTCATGCCTTTAGTCAAAAGCTCTGAAAACCCATACTATAATAAAAGATACTTCTATATAATTTAAGCTTGTGGTGCCATCCTTTAGAGGATGATATTGTCAAGATGGATGAAATAATGAAAATTATGTCTATTTCTTAAAATAATTTTGTTGTTATGACAATATTTTTCTTTGAAAGGATGAAAAGCTAAGTCATTTTGTAAAAAGTTCCTGGTGCAAAAACATTATTTACTTGGGAACCATTCTTCTCTAATAAATAGTTTAATTTTTTTTAATATAAAAATTTTAATGTGTCCCAAACTCTTTGAATACTTACACTTCCTCTCGCTGCTATAATTGCTTTCTTTTCCTCTTCCCTTAAGTTCTTGTAAATTACTAGAAAAACAGTAAATTCTCCATAACACAATTTTTCTAGATTTCCTCATAAGCACTGATTTTCATAAATATAAAATAAAAGAAGAAGAAAACAATTGATTGTAATAATTAGAGTAATGATTGGGGAGAGTTAGGGATTAAAATATTTATTATGCCAAAATTTTATATTTTAAGATTGATTTATATTCTCTATATAGAAAACATTTACTGTTGTTACCTCCAAACATTGAGAAAACTGAGAACTTTCCATTTCTTGGTCATATGTTACTGAGTCATATATAAGTATATACAATTTTTAAAAAAAATACAAGTCTAAAGATAATCATGTACAATTATATGTATTATGATTTTCCATGTTAATAATGGTGAGTATATAAAGCTATTTTACATATACATTAACTTAGCCAAAAAACAAACAAAAAAAGTGTATTAATGTAATTATTTCCATTTGGCACTTGGGTACAATAAAATGTGTATATTTATGGTCTATTCAATACGTATATATGTATTGAATTTTAGATCGCCTAAGAAAGAATTACAATTATTACTTGTCGTACAATTTTGTATATATTTTTAAAGAATAGAATGGTTTTCTTTTGTTTCTAGTTGGGATTCTCATCTGCCCGGATTTGCTTTTAATGACCAGTTCATTCAAATATCTACTCGTCTGCCTTCAGAATATATATATGGATTTGGAGAGGTGGAACACACAGCATTTAAGCGAGATTTAAACTGGCATACTTGGGGAATGTTTACAAGAGACCAACCCCCTGGTGTAAGTTATCAACATTTAACTACCCGATGAAGAAACTGTTAACACCATGATTAGGTTACAAATCAGTTCTTTGTAGATCTGTACTTCAGAAATGAAATATGACAAAGGGGCTTTAGAAAGCATAGCCATCTCCAGAGCTGCTGTCGTGATGATTCTCTAGTGGGAGAAATAAAGTCAACATAAACTACAGATAAAAGTCGAGAAGTGGATGGATAACAACTTGCTTGACTATAGTGAGAAACGAGGTTGTGACCCAACTTCTTAACTCTCTCAACTGCATACAAAGAACATGCTAATTCAGTATTCCCTGTCAAGCCCACCTTTAGTCTGAGCATTCAGAAAATAAATGTCTAGGGTTCTCCTTGAAATTTTCTCAACTTCTTAGATAATGATTTGATCCTAACTTTGTCCTTTATCACCCACAGCTGCAGTCCTGCATTTTTATGAGGCCATACTGCTACTTTAGAAAACGTTTTTATATGCTTATGACACTTTTCCCAAAGTTTTGTCTTGATAATGGAATATATTTCATGAATATTTAATGCACTGTATAACAAACAATATTAACCATAATTGTTTCAAACATAACTTGTAAAAGTTCATTTTAATAAAAAAACTAGCTCATTTCCATTTTGTACATGTGAAGTGTACATAAAGGATATATTCAATAGAAGATTATAAAAGTGTGTACTATTACAATCATTTTTTAATTGTGATAAGTGCTCAAACAACTTTTTTTTATCACACTAGTTCAAATTTAGATTACTGAAGGCTCTTTTTCGTTTACACCATGGTGAAAGAATATATTTTATCAAAATTTACTTCTTAAAGATCCTTCTAAAATTAGTATTGTTATTATTTGTTTAAAATAACCTTGATTCTCAATATATAAAATTTCTTTAACATGCTCATCAATTACTGGAACTCAAGTGTGGGCTAAAATATGTCTGTTTTGGGGTCATCAGGATAAGTCTAGTGACCTTCAGTAAGTCATTTCAGGACTTGGAGCAGAGGTTTTGTATTTTGAAAAATGATGATGTAGCTGATGATGAAATTAAAAGCTTTACAAAATAAAATATATAAACTTAAGATGTGATTTTATGGGTAGTTTGAGTACGTTTATCACCTTAATCATTTCTAGGACATTCTGTTATTGAAAAAGAAGTGCCAGTTTGTAAATGAATTAAGACATGTACCATGTGGAAAAGAAAACAGTAAGCTAATACCAACAGTGTTTTTCATCAGTGAACATGGCAGTTTTTGTGATTGTTACACACTTGTGTAATCATTTGCATGCTCTAAAGCATTCAAAATTCAAACAATAGAGAAATGATTTCCCTAGGAAATATATTTATTTATTTCAATTCACTCATAGTTTGAGTGTGCAAAACAGGAACGTTTAAAACCCGAGATTCAATCTTATAATGAGTTTAAAAATGACTGCATTCACATGTTATTATTTAAATATGTTATGTTTCAAACTTTATTTATTTCAGTATAAACTTAATTCCTATGGATTTCATCCCTATTACATGGCTCTGGAAGAAGAGGGCAATGCTCATGGAGTTCTCCTACTCAACAGCAATGCAATGGGTAAAACTTGCTGAATTGCTTCTATTTTATGTAATTTTTAAAATAAATGAATATCTCATACATAAAATGTAATCATAATTTGGATTTCCAGATGTTACATTTCAGCCAACTCCTGCTCTAACTTACCGCACAGTTGGAGGAATCTTGGACTTTTACATGTTTTTGGGCCCAACTCCAGAAGTTGCAACAAAGCAATACCATGAAGTATGATTGCACATTTATTTTTAAAACAAAGTTTACATGTATATATAATATAATAATATAATTATCTTAGTTCATAAATAACAAAATTCCTTTTTTTCAAAGGTAATTGGCCGACCAGTCATGCCTCCTTACTGGGCTTTGGGATTCCATCTATGTCGTTATGGGTACAGAAATACTTCAGAGGTTCAGCAACTGTATGATGAAATGATAACTGCCAAGATCCCTTATGTATGTATATCTGTTTTTAAGACAATGTTAAGTATACTATCTATAAAAGCAGAATATTTAAACACTTACGTACTTCAAAATTATTTTAAGTACTTGGTAATAATCAGTGCTTGTTTGTTTTTAATACCACTCACGAATTGGATAGGAGATCATTATAAAATGGTTTTATGAGATTGGTGAAGGGATAATACTCTTCTTTTTTCTTCTTTCTGCTGAGTTCCATGAGCATGAGTAATACTAAACCAGTCCCTGTACACTTGCTTTTCTCTCATAAACTTTGTTTGCATAGGGAATCACACATTATGCATGCCTGTTCTATTTAGGTTAGAGTAACAGGCCACAGGAATCAATTTCATCACTTGATGTGTTGAATTACAGAGAATGAGTTGGAAGTGAAACTGGATGATTTTGCCCTGGAATAGATGATAATTGTAAGGATCCCTGGTGGCACAATGGTTGAACCGAAAGGTTGTGGTTCGATCCCACCCAGCGGCTAGGGGAGGAGGTTAGAGACCTGGCGATCTCCTCCAGTAAATATTACAGCCTAGAAAACCCTATGGAGCACTTCTACTCTGTCACATGGGACCTCTATGAGTCAAAATCAACTTGACTGCACCCAATACCAACAACAGCAATGAAAGTTGTAATGCTAGAATACAAAATGAAAGGAATTATGCAGCGTCCTTTCCCCTCAGTGTTCAAGAGACTAAATATTCATAAGTATCTGCAAATACTCAGCCCCTGTATATCAGTTTTTAGCAAGATTAAGGAATACCAGGAACTCCTGGTTATACTTAAATATGGAAGCCTAGAATGCTTGATATATAGGAGCTCATTCTAAGAAAAATCAGAAGGACCTCACTATACGACAATTTTCCCTGTAACATAACCCCATATATGCTTCCTGAATTTATAATTAAGGGAAGAATTAATAGTGTAGCTTGATGATGTAGAAATATGCAAGTAGAAACTTATGATAAAAGGAAGGTTTCTTATCATGTGGTGGACTATATCAGCCATAAGGAGCCCTGGTGGCACAATGGTTAAGCACTAGATTGCTAACTGAAAGATTCGAACCCACCCAAAGGCTTTGTGGGAGAAAGACCTGGAGATCTGCTTCTGTAAGGACTGCAGCCAAGAAAACTCTGTGGGGCAGTTCTACTCTGTCATGTAGGGTCACTATGAGTCAGAATTGACTCGACAGCACACAACAACAATGTATCATCCATGTTTTTGTAACATGTAGAGAAGAAATTGAGCTAATGTCTATTAACAGAAACTAATTAACAGATTTTTATTTAGGTCTAAATTGCAGACTTCATGATAAAATTCAAGCACATGTTAGTTTAAACATACTTTAAATATCTGTCTGTAACCAAAGAGCCCTGGAGGCACAGTGGTTAAGAGCTCAGCTGCTAGCCAAAAGGTCAGCAGTTTGAATCCATCAGCCACTCCTTGAAAAACATATGGGGCAGTTCTACTCATAGAGACCTATGAGATCACTATGAGTCGGAATCAACTCAATGGCAACCAATTCAGTTTTTTTTTTTTTTTTTCGTTTTATCTGTAACCAATACTTCACTTATTTAACCTTGGGCTTTTATTCCAAGCAAGACTTTGGTGGATAATACCAAAAGTATTTGACAATAATTGATGAATTTACTAATAATTAGTTCTCCTTTTTGTCAGTATTAGTAATAATCTACAGTTATCCTATATTTGCTTTACTGTTCCCAGAAATAGAGCAACACCTCTTTCTGAGTACAGGGTACAAATTTACAATTTGCCATTTAACATAATTTCATAGTATCATAAATCATTTTATTCTTGTGTCCTTTGGAAATTACATAACTAAATACACTGATTTGGAAGAATTTTTACTTCTAAATCAAAATTACAAAATGAAATGTCGACAAAACAGAACATTTATATAAACTTGTTCTTAGAATGTTTTGCGTCTTTTACATGCTATTTTTATTCCTTGAACACTGCATCACTTGAGTAACTCTTTAGGATCGAGTGAAGAGACATTGAAACTTTAATATTGCTATAACTTTCATAATTACAAAAGAATGTGATACACTCACTATTTTGTGATTCTTACCACACTGCCACAATTCTCATGTATTTCAGGATGTTCAATACACAGACATTGATTACATGGAAAGGCAACTAGACTTTACAATTGGTGATGATTTCCGTGAACTTCCTCAGTTTGTTGACAAAATAAGAGGAGAAGGAATGAGATACATTATTATCCTGGTCAGTATTTGTATTTTATATTTTATCTGTCTTATTATTTTGGTTTTATTAAGATTTCTATGCTAGAATGAGAGAAAAATGGCATTTTAAAATATAAAGTATATAACTCGTATCCTACTCCTGGATCTATAACTTTTTTCCTTTAACACTTATTCTTTATATGTAGGCTGCCACAGGTTGTCTTTGTACTTTAGATATATCCTTGGAAATCTAAGGCAAAATATGGTGAATTAAAGGCAAGCTGTTCTCTATTAATCATCCAAGCTGTCTGAAAACTGACCTCAATTTATAGACGCCATCACAAAGTATTGGTGGATTTTTTATTTCTATACAATTCTCAAATCATTCTCTAGGATTGCTTCTTATGTTTGTCATATTTTAAAAATTGCCCTGAAGTTAGTGATGGAGTGGAGAAAATATTTTATCAATAACTTAAAGGAAGTATATTAGGCAGGAAGAAACCTCACTGAACAAGTAAAAACAAAACAAACAACTCTAGTAATCTTGCTTGAAATCATAGCTGATGTATTTTCATAAGTCCTTAGCATTTCCTTCCACAAGAAAGTAGACGAAATCTAACTAGAACATTGATTTTCATGCAATTCGTCAGTCTATATGACAGCATAATATTATGAAATTTAATAATAAAAAAATCATAATGTTTCATGATGACTACCCTGGTGACTATACTTTTATTTCACGTTTACATGGTTTGTATTTTGTTTCAATTTTAGGATCCAGCAATTTCTGGAAATGAAACAAAGCCTTACTCAGCATTTCAAAAAGGAGTGGAGAAAGATGTCTTTGTCAAATGGCCTAACACCAGTGATATTTGTTGGGCAAAGGTACTAAGTTCATGCCTTGAATATTTCATTATAAAATAAGTTTAAAAATGTTATTTCATTGAAAGTTTCTATTTAATTAAAATATTATTAACAAACCACACTCAAAGGGAAATAGATATATAAAAAATGTAATGAGTTACTTATTAGTAAATAAAATAATGAATTATTATTATCAAATTATAATAAGTTAAATTATTAGAAACAAAGAAAAAATTAACACAAGTTCAGTGTCAACATACTATCTGTTTCATCATTAAATTCTCTTCTATTGGATTTCTTGATCCCGTTTTTCAGATTTATTATAAAATCACCATTATTAAAATGGCTACACATTTTTCTTTACTATAAAAAAATTTTAAGTGTTTGTCTGTTTGTATTTCTCTTAGAAATACCTCATTAATAAAAACAACAATATTTTTGTTAGCTGTTCCTGACTTTAATAAGGAATATAATTCACTGTATTTCATATAAGCAATACTATTCAGACCTGAATATATTAATATATTAAAGAAAATATTCTAATTTTACTTTCATATGAAACAATCAAGAGAAACATATTAATGGTCATAACTAGAATAAAAAAAAATCCCATAAGAGAAAATGTAATTAGACGCAATGTGGGATCCTTGATTGGATCTTGGACCAAAAATAGGACATTAGTGATAAAATTGGCGAAAATAAAATATTATATGCAAATTAATTAAAAATAATGTATGAATGTTAATTTATTCATTTTGGTAATTGTACTATGGTCATGTAAGATGTTAACATTAGGGGAAGCTGCGTAAAGTGTGTACACAAATACAAGATATAGTTTTCATAGCTTTCTCCAAGTCTAAAAATATTTCAAAGTAAAAAGTTAAAAATGTATAAAATTTAAGAAGTCCTATGGAGAAATTCCCCCAAGTGTCTGTCAGTCTGTCATACTGTGGGGGCTTGTGTGTTGCTGTGATGCTGGAAGCTATGCCACCGGTATTCAGATACCAGCAGATACCAGCAGGGTTACCCATGGTGACAGGTTTCAGCTGAGTTCCAGACTAAGACAGACTAAGAAGATGGATCCAGCAGTCTACTTCTGAAAAGAATTAGCCAGTGAAAACCTTATGAATAGCAGTGGAACATTGTCTCATATAGTGCTGGAAGATGAAACCCCAGGTTGGAAGGCACTCAAAATTTTGACGACTGGGGAAGACCTGCCTCCTCAAAGTAAGTCGACCTTAATGACGTGGATGGAGTCAAGCTATCGGGGCCTTGATTTGCTGCTATGGCATGATTCAAAATGAGAAGAAACAGCTGCAAACATACATTAATAATTGGAACTTGGAATGTACAAAATATGAATCTAGGAAAATTGGAAGTTGTCAAAAATGAAACGGAATGCATAAACATCAGTATCCTAGGAATTAGTGAGCTGAAATGGACTGGTACTGGCCATTTTTAATTGGACAATCATATGGTCTACTATGCCGGAATGACAACTAGAAGAGGAATGGTGTTGCATTCATCCTCAAAAAGAACATTTCAAGATCTATCCTGAAATATGACACCATCAGTGATAGGACAATATTCATACACCTACAAGGAAGACCAGTTAATATGACTATTTTTCAAATTTACATATCAACCACTAAGGCCAAAGATAAAGAAATTGAAGATTTTTACCAGCTTTTGCAGTCTGAAATTGATCAAAAATGCCATCAGAATGCATTGATAATTACTGGTGATTTGAATGCAAAAGTTGGAAACAAAGAAGTTTCAGTAGTTGGAAAATGTGGCCTTGGTGATAGAAACAATGTCGGAGATCCCATGATAGAATTTTGCAAGACCAGCAACTTTTCATTGCAAATGCCTTTCTTTACTAACATACACGTGGACCTCGCCAGAGGGAATACACAGGAATCAAATCAACTACATCTGTGGAAAGAGATGATGGAAAAGCTCAATATCATCAGTCAGAACAACCCCAGGGGCCAACTGAGGAATGAACCATCAATTGTTCATATGCCATTTCAAGCTGAAACTGAAGAAAATTAAAACATCCACTAAAGCTAAAGTACTACATTGAGGATATCCCACCTGAATTTAGAGACTATCTCAAGAACAGATTTGACACACTGAAAACTAATGACAGAAGACCAGACAAATTGTGGAATGACATCAAGGACATCTTACATGAAGAAATCAAAAGGTCATTAAAAAGACAGGAAGGAAAGAAAACACCAAAATGGATGTTAAAAGAGACTCTGAAACTTGCTCTTGAGCGTTGAGTAGCTAAAGCAAAAGGAAGAAATGATGAAGTAAAAGAACTGAACAGAAGATTTCAAAGCGCAGCTCAAAAAGACAAGGTATAATGACATGTGCAAAGAGCTGGAGATAGAAAACCAAAAGAGAAGAACACACTCAGCATTTCTCAAGCTGAAAGAACTGAGGAAAAATCTCAAGCGTCGAGATGCAATAGTGAAAGCTTATATATGGAGAATATTAAATGAGGCAGGAAACATCAAAAAAAGATAGAAAGAATACACAGAATCATTATACCAAAAAGAATTGGTCGACATTCAACCATTTCAAGAGGTAGCATACGGTCAGGAACCAATGATACTGAAGGAAGAAGTCCAAGCTGCACTGAAAGCATTGGTGAAAAACAAAGCTCCAGAATTTGACGGAATACCAATTGAGATATTTCAACAAATGGGTGCAGCACTGGAAATGGTCACTAGTCTATGCCAAGAAATTTGGAAGACAGCTACCTAGCCAACAGACTGGAAGAGATCCATATTTATGCCTATTCCCAATAAAGGTGATCCAACTGAATGTGGAAATTATCGAACAAAATCATTAATATCACAGGTAACTAAAATTTTGCTGGACATCATTTAAAAGCAGCTGCAGCAGTATGTCGACAGGGAAGTGCCAGCAATTGAGGCCGGATTCAGAACAGGACATGGAACCAGTGATATCATTGCTGACATCAGATGGATCCTGGCTGAAAGCAGAGAATACCAGAAAGATGTTTGCATGTGTTTTATTGACTATGCAAAGGTATTCAACTGTGTGGATTGTAACAAAGTATGGATAACACTGCAAAGAACGAAAATTCCAGAACACTTAATTGTGCTCGTGAGAAACCTGTAGATAGATCAAGATGCAGTTGTTTGAACAAAACAAGGTGATGGTGCGTGGTTTAAAGTCAGGAAGGGTGTGTGTCAGGGTTGTATCCTTTCACCATACCTATTCAGTCTATATGCTGAGAAAATAATCCAAAATGATGGACTATATGAAGAAGAATAGGGCATCAGGATTGGAGGAAGACTCATTAACAACCTGCATTATGCAGGTGACACAACCTTGCTTGCTGAAAGTGAAGAGGACTTGAAGCACTTACTGATGAAGATCAAGAACTACAACCTTTAGTATTGATTACACCTCAACATAAAGAAAACAAAAATGCTCACAACTGGACCAATGGGCCCCATAATGATAAATGGAGAAAAGACTGAAGTTGCCAAGGATTTTATTTTACTTGGATCAACAATAAACACCCATGAAAGCAGCAGTCAAGAAATCAAAACATATATTGTACTGGCAGATCTGCTGCAAAAGACCTCTTTAAAGTGTTGAAAAACAAAGATGCCACCTTGAGACTTCTGGGCAACATGGCACTATAGACAGAAGCACCACACTGTCCCTCCACAGCAAAGATCCAAAAACTAAGTCAAACAGAGACAAACATCAATCCTGAAACCCTAAGCATCAAATGAAGAGACAAAAAACTCAGCGAAACACCGAATGGAATAAGAAACTGACAGAGAACAGAGAGTGAGGAGAGATACATGCAGAGGTCCCTTATCAGAGAATACAGCATGGATCTGCCATCTTGGACTCCTGTCAGAGATCTGCGAACAGGGAGTACGGGAAAGCAGCTTCACGGAGCTCCCAACAGGAGACAGAACAACTGGTAATCAGTGAATCACGCTTTCCAACCCCCTGTTCTTCTTCACCCCCACTCAGCCTCCTTTGCTTCCTGTGGCCACAGTCTCTTGGCTGGGAAGCACCAGCTAAGATTCCAGCTGCCTGCACTGGCCAGCTCCCTGAGTGCCATTTGTTGGTTGTGAGCATTGCTTTTTTCTTCTTATTTTGGTTTCTTCCATACCTCTCACAACCTGTCCCTCCTTTCTCTAAAATACCCGGCTCTGTGTGCCATCTTTGCTTCTTTCTGAAAGGCTGTGAAACGCCTCTCAACTGTGGAACTTCTTTCTAGCCCATGCCACCATGCTGGTAGGATCCCTGGGGCTTTTTTGTTTGTTTCTTTCTTTTGATTTTTTTCTGTTTTGATTTGTTTGTTTGTTTTCTTTTGTTGGCTTGGGAGCCCCTTCTAGCTGAGAAGTACTGTGTGGCTGAGGAGACATTTCCTCAGTCTGCAAGCTGCACAGTGGGATCCCTGAGATAATTTCTTTTTCTTTTTTGTTTGTTTCTTTTTTTTAACAGATTTTTTGTAGATTTTCTTTCTTTTGTTTTCTTTTCTCTCTTTTTCCCCTTTTTGTCTTTCTTCATGTCTCAGTTTCTCATCTCTATATACTTACCTTCTCTTCCTGTCTCCTGAATAATTGACACTGTGTGACACCTGAACCCTTCTAGCCAGGCTGTACTTCATGGCCTGGGAGCAATGTCCCCAATCCTCGCATCCTCACTGATAGAATCCCTGGGGGCTTTTCTTTTCTTTTTTTTCCCTAATTTTTGTTTATTCATTTCTTTTGTTCTATCCCTTTTCTCTTGTTTTTCTCCATTTCTCAGACTCTTATCTATCCACTCCAATGGAAAGCTCCCTTAGCAATCTTTTTTGTTTGTTTGTTTACATGTTTTTGGCTCCTGTTCCTCTCTCCTCTCTCTCCTTTCCCATGCTCACCTTAGCTCCACACATCACAATCTCCTCCCACCTTCCTGCCTACCTGCACCATGCACTGTACGTCACACCCCTGAGCATCAGAGGTGTGGCCTAC